GAGCCCCCCGAGTGCCCCCTTGCAACTTTCTTCTAAGTTGAAATAATATAAAAATAAAAATGATACCTCTCAAAAAAAAAAAAAAAGAGGAAACATAGGAGGCAGCTGCAAAGAGGTCTCGGGCTAAATTTGGATCAACTTGACCATCAAAAAGAATAATTGAATGAAAAAAGAATCTATGAATTTGTATTAACATTTGAGAATTTGTTCTTAGGGGCGCTTGGGTGGCTCAGTCAGTTAAGCGTCCCACTTTGGCTCAGGTCATGATCTCACGCTTCATGGGTTCGAGCCCCGCGTCGCGCTCTGTGCTGACAGCTCAGAGCCTGGAGCCTGTTTCAGTCTGTGACTCCCTCTCTGACTCTCCCCTGCTCACACTGTCTCTCTCTCTCCAAAATAAATAAAACATTAAAAAAAGTTATTTAAAAAATTAAAAAAATTCTTTTTTATTTATTTTTATTTCTGAGAGAGAGAGAGAGAGAGAGAGAGAGACAGCGTGAGCAGGGGAGGGTAAGAGAGAGAGGGAGACACAGCATCTGAAGACAGGCTCCAGGCTCTGAGCTAGCTGTCAGCACAGAGCCCGACGTGGGACTTGAACTCACGAACGTGAGATCATGACCTGAGCCGAAGTCCGGCGCGTAACCAACTGAGCCACCCAGGCACCCCTGTTTTTAATTTTTTAAATGTGTATTTGAAAGAGAGAGAGAAAGAGCTTGTGTGTGCACTTGGGTGGGGAAGGGGCAGAGAGCAAGGGAGACAATCTGCCTCTGAGCCGTCAGCACAGAGCCTGACGCGGGGCTGGGACCCACTAACTGTGAGATCATGACTTGAGCTGAAGTCAGAACCTCAAACGACTGAGCCACCCAGGCGCCCCCACATTTAAGAATTTTTTAAAAAGGAGGGGAAGCATTTCTTGACCAAGAATATGCCTAGTAAATGTGAAGGAAATGATAAGATTAGAAAGTCATGATTCTGTAATCATACACGTAATGATGGATTCAGACAATAACCATCAACTGATGCTGAAACTGTTGGGTAAATGGCCATTGAAATCCTATTTACAGTCTCAAGGAATTACCCCACACATGGTTCATTCACTCTACAAGGGACCTTGACCATGGAGGAAGCTGGCAGAACCCACCCTGGCCGAGGGTTCAGATTTCCCTCCCCACGCACAGGACAAGCCGAAGTCCTGGACCTCCTGATGCCTGGGCCGCCGAGGCCCTGTAACCCCAGAAAGCCTGAGGCAGACGCAAACCATTGAACAGTCTAGAGAAAATGGGTCTGGGTTCCTCACCAGATGCAAGTGTCATGAAAAATTAAAACAAGCAAAACAAAAGACGGAAAGTCTGTTGCAGATGGAGAAAGAGTGCAGGCAGCTGTGATGACCAGAGGCAGTATGACAGCCAGCAGTATGGGACCATTCGGGGATAAGGACAATTCTACCGGAAGGTGTGTATTAGATAATATCCTTGTGTCCGTGACTGTCTGCTCGGTGGGTGTGGGGCTGGGTTACTATCAAGTAGGAGGAGGTGCTGCTGAGTTACTGGGAGGGAAATTGCCTGCATGTTGTCAACTTACTTTCAAATATAAACACGTACGCACATATATACGTATATTTATTTATTTATTTATTTATTTATTTATTTGAGGGAGGAGGGGGAGAGAGAGCACGTGGAGGAGACGGACAGAGGGAGAGATCTAGACTCTTAATCAGGTTCCACACTCAGGGCAGAGTCTAATGCAGGGCTTGATCCCACCACCCTGGGATCATGACCTGAGCTGAAATCGAGAGTCCTACGCTCAACTGACTGAACTCCCCCGGCATCCCAGCACATATGCAGATATAAATACACAAAGAGAAGGCAAATGTGAGGAGATGTTAGCAGTGGTGCATCTAGAGGGAAGTGTAGAGAAGAGCTGGAAACCAGTGTTTAATATTAAGTGTTTAGTTGGTCTATAGATGTCCTTTACTTTCAGTTTTTATTTATTTAAGAAATCTCTAAACCAAATGTGGGGCTTGAACTCATGACTCTGAGATCAAGAGTTGCATGATCCTCCAACTGAGCCAGCTGGGCACTCCTGGATGTCATTAAATTTTTTAAAATTATTTATTATTTTTAAAAAATTTAATGTTTTATTTATTTTTTAGAGAGAGAGAGAGAGAGTGAGTGGGGGAGGGGCAGAGAGAGGGTGACACAGAATCCGAAGCAGGTTCCAGGCTCTGAGCTGTCAGCACAGAGCCTGACATGGGGCTTGGGGCTTGAACCCACAAAGTGTGAGATCATGCCCTGAACTCAGATGCTCAACCGACTGAGCCTCCCAGGCGCTCCCCCCAGATGTAATTTTTAATTGAAAATTTTATTGAGATGATTACAGAATCATGTGGAATTGTAAGAAATAACAGAGAGCCACCCCTTGTGCACTTTGCCTCCTTTCCCGCAGTCGTGGCATTTGGCAAAACTATGGACGGGATCACAGCCAGGACAGTGACGTGGGTACAGTGTACCTCCCCCTTCACATTTCCATGAGGGTCCCTGGCATTGTCTCCCTAGAACCACACGGCCTTCACTCCCTCCCCTCACCCAGTGGCCCTAACATCTGGTAACCCACTATTTCTAAAATGCTGCCCTTTCCATAAAGCTGTATTCATGGAACTGCACGGTATGCCTGTAGCCTTAGGGGACTGGCTTTTTCTCACTCAGCACACTTCCCTGGGGAGTCGGCCAGGTTGCCGGATCCACACTGCGGGGCAGAGTCCTGTGGCGAGGCGGGCCGCAGTGTGCTCCGCTCACCCTGGGCTGGCTCCAGGTTTGGACCGTCACAAATAAAGCTGCTGTGGACGTTAATGTACACACCTGCCCTTTCCTGAGGTATCAGACTTGGAAAGAAAGTCATGAGCTGCCAAAGGACGCCGAACAAACACCTGAGTAAAGACTCCCCTTCATGGCCTCGCAAACCTCCCAAAGATGCCCCTTGACCCCATGGTCTCCTCCATGGCCTCCACTGGGACTGCTTCCTGGAATCCGGTAGCTCAAGGCTGTGCCCGAAACGGCCGTAGGTGATGGAGCCCTAGGCAACCGTGCCGAGTTGCAGGGAGGAGCCGAGGGAGGCGGCACAGAGAAGCAGCCTCCCAGTAGAGCAAATACATGGCCCTCACGCGTGTGTTCAACCCTGAGTGTGCAAACTCGCCAAAGGCCGGTGAGGGGTCTTCCTACTGCGGAGGTGAGCAAGCATGTCCAGGGCCCGAAGTTTGGGGTGTTTCCTGCCTTCAGAGGCTCGTCCGGGGCTCTGAGCCAGCAGCCAGTGCTTGTCCCTGGGGGTTTGTTTCCACAGGTGCCTCACTGTGTCCCGGGCTGTCCCGCCTGGTCTGTACCAGGTCCAGCCCAGCCAGGCCACCTCCCACGGCCAGTGTCCCAGATGTGTCACGGATGGGCCTGCTCATGGTGGGAACAAGCAGTAAACCAGCGAGCAAGCAGGAAAGGCCTGTCCCTGTGGAGATGAGGCTTCGAGGAAACCCCCCGCAGGCCGACATGCTGAAGAGGCCGGGCTCAGGGCGACCTGGGGTGTACTGGCTTGGCTGCCACATTACTGTCTGTGGGGCCTTGATGGGTTGAAGAGTGGGGTTGGAGAGCGTGACCAGGCAGTGATCAGAAATGCCCCAAAAGTGTCTGCCCGCAGACAGCGAGGCCGATGTGAGCAGGAAGGGGTGGACAGGACGAGGCGATAGCGAGAGACGTTGTCTTTTAGCCAGCGCAGACCTGGCAACGGCTGGGAACTGGCCTTGACCAGGTGACCTCCCAAGTGCCTCCCATGCGAAACCTCCAAGGTCCTGTGATGCTCCCTGGCTTCAGGGGAGGGGCTCACGGAGGGCTCAGCGGGAGCAGGTCACACTGAACACACAGGACTCCTGCCTGGGCGGTCAGGCGGGCCGTGAGGAGAGTCCCTAGCTGTCCTGCAGGTTTGCACGTGTGGGTTTGTGGGTACACGGGTATGGCTGAGATGGATGGGTCCCCTACATGAAGGCGAGCCTGCACCCACACACGTGGGGCAGTAGGAGTCACACGCCCCTCCCCCACAGCCTTCCAGACCACGCAGCAGGCTCCAATCAGGACTCGCACCGAGCCCATGAAATGCTGGTGTCAAACCTGCTCCGGTCTGGAGCTGCGGTCAGCCTTTACCCTGAGCCGGCCCCTGACCTTCACACCACCCACCCCAGGGCCGCAGGCGTAGGTGACCACAGGGGACTAGGAGCCAGTGGGCAGGAAAGGGGCAGGTGGGCGGGCCAAGGGCAAGCGAGCCCAGGCCGGCCTGGGCGCGGGGACCCTGAGGGGCCCGGGGGCCCAGGCCTGGCGAGCTCGCAGCCTGCGGGGCCGGGCCCGGCCTAGGGGCCACGCCGAGCCCGTTGGGGTGTCCGCGCGCGGCCACGCGGCACCCGGGCGCTCGGACGCTCAGCGGCCGCGCTGGGGCGGGGCCAGGGCTGGGGGCGGGGCCAGGACGCCGGGGAGGACCCGGAAACGCGCGCAGGCCCCGCCCACACGCCCCGCCCCGCGGCCGCGTGGCTGTGCGTCCCGGCTGTTAGCGATAAAGTGGTTTGACGCCGAGCCGGCGGCGGCGGGTCACGTGAGCGGAAGATGGCGGCCCCAGCAGGCGGCGGGGGCTCCGCAGTGTCGGTGCTGGCCCCGAACGGGCGGCGCCACACGGTGAAGGTGACGCCGAGCACCGTGCTGCTGCAGGTGCGGCGGCGGCGCCGGCCGCGGCGGGGGCGGGCGGGGGCGGCGGGCGGGGGCGGCGGGCGGCGGCGGGGGCGCGGTGCCTGGCCCGCTCCTGCGGTTGGCTCCGGAGGGCCGAGGGGGCGGGGCATGCGGGGGGCGGGGCACGCGGCGGCCAATCAACTTCCTCCTGGCGCGGCGGTCCCGCCCCCTTCCGCGCCGGGCGCCTGCACCCGAGACTTCGCGGGTCCCGGCTGGGTCTGGGGTCTGGCTGGCTGGAGTCGGGGGCGGGGGGCGGCCACCCCACGAGTCCGCCGCGGAGCCTCGAGCCGTGTCCCCGTCCTGGGGCGCCCTCCAGGTGTCCACGGGATGTGAGACCGTGGCGTCTGGATACTGATTTGCTGAGTCACTCGCTGCACTTCCTCCGGGGCAGCTGTTTCATGAAAAAGGCTCATCGGGCCCCGAGGTTCAGGGGCCAGTGCTCGTCCAGGGGCCTGCGGGGAGGAGCCCCCAGGGCGGGGCGGTGGCGGACAGAGCCGACTAGATTAACTCAGTGTGCCTGCTGGGTCCAGAAGCAGGGGTCCCCGGCCATTTGGGCGCCCCCAGACCCGCCTGTGCTGGCGGCTCATGGGGAGGACGGTGAAGCACTGCAGGCACTGGGGCCCAAGTTTGAACTTGACTGTGCGTGGGGAGAGGGACCCGAAGTCGGCAGGGAACGGTCTGTGGCAGCGGGCTGTTGGAGACCCAGCGTGGAGGGTCCCACAGACCTGGTGAAAATGCAGGCCCAGTGAGGAGCGGGAGAGTGAATACGGGTTGCAGGTGAGGCGTGTGGATCAGTTGAGTGGACAGCCCGTCATGTGGTTTGTACCAGGCGTGGTTGGAAGCCAGTTAATCAACAGACAGACTCTGTGCCCGCCGACCGAGCCACCAGGCCAGACCCAGTGGCTCACAGTCCTGTCGTCTGACTCCTAGGTTCTGGAGGACACATGCCAGCGGCAGAACTTCAACCCCAGCGAGTACGATCTGAAGTGAGTGTGCTAGGGTCTGGTCCGGGTCTGTCCGGGCCACCCACCCCTCCCCAGGACCCTGCCTGGGGGCGGGTGTAAACCAACAGAGGCGGATTTTCTCACAGAAGCCCAAAGTCTAGGTGTGGGGCAGGGCCCCTCTCCCTCCAAGGCTCTGAGAGAGCAGCCCTCCCCGCTTCCCGGGGCTCCAGCTGTTCCTTGGCTTTGTGGCTGCACTCGGCCTCTTCCTCCTTTTCACGTGGCCTTCTCCCTGTGTGTCGTGTGTCTTTTCCTCTTCTGTCTCTTATAAGGACACTTGTCATTGGATTTAGGGCCCACCCAAATCCAGGATGACCTCATCTCGAGATCCCTAACTCAGTTTTATCTGCAAAGTTCCTATTTCCAAGTAAGGTCCCATTCATGGGTTTTGGGGGTTAGGATGTGGATGTGTCTTTTTAGGGGTCTCTGCGGAGGGCTTTCGTGCTTGTATCCGTTCTTGGTGGGGCTCTGAGGGAAGAGGAGGCGGTCGTGCAGATGTGGGCAAACCCCGCAAACTCTCCCCTGCCAACAGCTGTGTGGATGTGGGCGGCCTCGCGGCGCCCTGCTGTTGCATGCCTGCGTCTCTGCGGGGCGCCCTTCCAGGGAGAGGGCTTTTGGCCCATCCTCGAGTGGTCTGCAGCATAAAGGGATCAGAACCCCACCGTGGTAGCCTGGGGGTTTCTGTGCCACCTGAGGAGCTTGTCCCCTTAGCGGCTCGTCTCAATGGTACGGCTGTCCTCACATCGGAGAGCCCGCGCTGCTGCTGAGCATCCCAGGGCCGCGCTCGGTGCTGGCTGTGCCCTGGCGCCTCTCACAGAGCTGTGTGCTCTTTCTGGGTTCCCTGATGTGCCCAAAGCAGGCTAGAACTTCCCCGAGCAGAGCTCGGCGCACACCTCTCAGTTGCTCCTGGGTGCATTTTTATTTTCTGAGTCTGTTCTGGGCCAGTTGCTGCTTCATGCCTGGGGAGGGCTGCCCCCTGGTCTGTCCCCAAGGGTGACCCATTTCTGGCTTCTCCCTCTTGCTCTGCCCTTGTAAGCTCAAAGCCGAGTCAGTGCTTACTTTTCCTTTCCTGGGAAGACCCACTGCAGACGGGCACCCGCTGTCTCTGCAGACAGGCAGGCCGCACCTGCGTTCCTGCAGCCTCCAGGGTGCTGGTCGTGTGGACGGGAGCCCCGCCCGGCCTAGTCCCTGCTCCCAGCGGGGCTCTGCTGGGCCCTGTCTACAGGCTGGGTCATGTGCGGGTCTGCAGGGCAGCCCGTGAGCTGTGGCCTGTTTTGCAGGTTTCAGAGGAATGTGCTTGACCTCTCTCTCCAGTGGAGATTTGCCAATCTGCCCAATAATGCCAAGCTGGAGATGGTGCCTGTGTCCCGGAGCCGCGAGGGGCCCGAGAACATGGTAGGTGGCTCTCAGGGAGCGGCCGAGAACTGCTTCCCGGCTCTTGCGTCCAGGCTGTTCGCGCCACGGGGTGCTGCTCACTGAGCAGACAGGACAGTCTCTTGCAGCGGTTGGAGGAGGGTGGGGTGAATGGAGGGATGTGCCGGCAAGGCCCGCGTCCTCGCTCCCACGCCCCTTTCTCAGGTTGGTGTGGATTGGAAATGAGCCTTTCGGTCTCTATTCTGAAATTATCTTTGAGCGGGGAGATTACTTGTGCCGTCAGCCAAGCATCTCAGAGCCTGCGGAGTTTTGTGGACGGGGTACAGCCTTGCTGTTGGGGGGAGGACACATGCCTCGCTTGGACCACAGCCCGAGTCTTTGACCATGGCCTGCAGCTTTCCACCAGATCAATCACTTCTAGGTCCTAGAGATGGAGCGGACGGCAGGATAGTTACTGTGGGTGGAAGCAGTAACCACAGTGCTGGCTTTCTGCTTCTGTGGGTCTCTGCGGGCCCTCTAGACACCGCAGGGAGGGCGACCTTCATTCCTGTTGAGAGAGAAACAAGGAAGCTCGGGCCCTGCAGACGTTAGTTAGCGCCACGGGGACCGGCCCCTGCACCCCTCTGTTCACACAGAAGGAACCCTGATTCCCTCGGCTCCTTGGGGGTGCCGGGGGTGGGAGGGAGATCCTCTTGCACTTTCACACGGAGCAGCTTCTCCTGTTACTGGGATTCCGTGTAAACATGTGCTTGAAGAAGAGAGTGTGTTGGCCGAAGTGGCAGGGAAGCGGGCCTGGAGATCAGCCCTCACCCTGACAGGCGGGGCCCCAGGGAGGTGGTCGTGGGCGTAGGGACACACGCCCGTCCCCGGTGTGTCTGTCATTCAGCAGGAGGACCAGAAAGGCGTTTCTTCTCCTGGGTTGTGGACTTCCGTCCCTACTTCCAGAATAGTTGTTAACACGGAGCTTCAAGAGCAGTGCGTTCATTTGTGAAAAATGCTCGGAAGGCGTAACGCGCTTGTTACTCGTCACTGCGTAACAAGTTAATCCAAACAGTGGCGACTGAAGATACGCGACAGATGTCTGCAGAGTGTGTGGGGGGGACAGCACTTCCTTACCCCCAGGCACCCACGTCCCCTGGCCTGCAGGATCCTGGGGCCCTGAAGGAGTGTGCGCTCTCTTACCTGGGTGGCTGCTCCCTGACTCAGTTTCCCATGTCCAACCCCTCAGGTTCGCATCGCTCTGCAGCTGGACGATGGCTCAAGGTTGCAAGATACTTTCTGTTCGGGCCAGACACTCTGGGAGCTTCTCAGCCATTTTGCACAGACGAGGTGAGCGCCGGGGAGCAGGTTCTGGGCTCTGCCCTCCTCTGCGGCGAGGGCGCTGCTGGGTTCCCGGGGCTGATCCGGAGCCACGGTCCGCGGTTTGCCGGGGCCGGAGGCTGCACCATTAGGGCTTTCCGGTCTTGCTAAGAGGTTGGGTTTGAGGTACGGGGGCTGCCGTCCATCAGCTGCCCGCAGCAGGTGCTGGCCGCCAGCAGCTCTTCCTTTCTCCTGGGCTTCCTGTCGTGCCTGCGGGGGCTCGCCCTCCCGGGGGACAAAGCCATGCTTCTGTCCTTGTGGGGGCTTGGCAAGCGTGAGGGGAACAGGGAGCTTCTGGGCTCCTCAGAGGACAGATGCTTTAGGTAGAAAACTTACTTATGAAAATGGGTCACGTTGAGAAAGAAAACGTTAATGGTATTTGACAGGTGTCAGTTTCCATCTGGTAATTAATGATTGAAATCTTAGTCCTGAATGCGTCAAAGTGGTAGCGCTTTGCTTTCTTGTCTTTCATTTTGGCATGGAAGTCTTTGTTCCCCTTTGAAGGTCCTGGGCAGCGGAATGGAAGGGACCGTGGGAGGGTGTGGTGGTCACTGTGTGGCCCCGCGCAAGTTGCTCAGCGTCTGAGGGCCTGTCAGGGCCGGAGTGAGGATGGGAGAGCAGGCCTGGCCCCAAGCTTTGTCTGCGTGGAAGACGGGGCTTTGCCCATGCGGGGACAGGGCTCGCCTCCGAAAGGCCACTCTGGTCTGACAGCTGTCCCTGCTGTCACAGCAGCCGGAGTCGTCCCGTCGGAGCTTCCTCTTCCGTGTCTGGTGTCCGACGTGGCTGCGAGCGCAGCTGGGCCAAGACCGGGTGGCTCCCCTCTGCTCCTGCGGGCCTGGGCCCCCGCGGCTGGGGCTGCCTCCCCCCCCCCCCACTTCCTCCGCGGATGCCCCCAGGGGGACTTGGCAGCCCCTGCTCAGGCGTCTTCGGTAGTAGAGGCATGGGCACGCCTGACGTCAGTCCACGGGCTGTCCTCGCTGTGCCGCCTGTGGCTGGCTTTCCGAAGGGGGCGGGGGGTGCTCCTGCAGCTCAGAGCCCCGGGCCGCCCGCCCGCCCCTCCGCTGCTGCACCATGCTGCTGGAAAGATGAGGCCGCATCTGCTGCTGCTTTGTTCTTCCATGCGTCCAGCTCAGGCCGGGCGGGCTGAAGCAGGGAGCCGGGGCCTGGCCTCACGGAGCTGACCTCTGAGGGGCTGACAGGCGAGCGTACAGAGCCACAAGAAACTTCACAAAGAGGAAGGCAGGGCACCTTGGGACATGGTGGGGCAGCGTTTTCTGAGTGGTGGTAGGGGTCTCGGGAGCAGCTGTACCAGGATCTGGGCGGGAGCTCTCTGGGCCAAGGTGGGGAGCAAGTGCAAAGGCCCGGGGGCAGAAACAAGGAACAGGAAGATTTCCTGATCTACGGTGTGTCATTTGTTTCCCTCCCAGAAGGCAACTAAAACAACAGCAAAAGATTTTACAGAGGTGCAACTCAGCCCAGGCAATGGCAGTAGCAGCTCGCGGGTGAGGCGGGCGACGGCTGGGCAGGGAGGCTAGAGCGGGAAGGCCAGTGGTAGGGGGGTGTAAGGAGCCATGGGGCTTCAGCCCCCTTCTGCTTTGTGCTGCTGGCCATGGAGGTGGTCCTGGGGGTGCGGAGCCTCAGGGCTCTGGGGACGCGGGTGCCTGCACCGTTGAGGCTGTTCCAGGAGTGTGAGTGCCGTGCAGCTCCCAGGACCGCAGGGGGCATGGATGGCTCCCCAGGTTGCCAGCTGGGCACTGAGCGCCGACCACACCGCCCCCCGGAGCCCAGGTGTCTGAGCAGCCTCCGGTGTGTGAGGAGGACCGCGAACGGCGGGGACAGAGTGACAGCCTCTGTTCGCGTCCTCAGGACGGAGAGGCAGTTGGAACAAGAGTCAGGTGCGGGCGAGCGGGCGAGCGCGGAGACCAGGTAGACCCCTGCAAGCAGGCAGGGAGGTGTATCGGTAGCCACAGCCGTGGCTCACGTGGCCACGGTCCTCGTTGTGCGTGAGGAAGCTCGTGGGTCTGAGGACCCCCCATCCTGCTCCGTTGCCTGAGGGTCGGCGGGGCGCGCGCGGCTGCTTGGCGGCCACGCCTGGAGGCGAGGGTTCAGGGTCCTGGCCATCTTGGCTGAGGCTCGGGAAGGAGCTCAGCTCCGCCGCGGGAGGCGACACAGAGCCAGGCGGCCGAGCGCCAGGGTGGGGCAGGCAGAGCTGGGGCCGGGGTCCCAGGCAGCGGGCTCTGGGGGAGGTCGGAGGCTGCGGGGCGCCCTTCAGCGGCGCTGCTGTGAGCGAGCCGGGGACCGGGGGGCACGCAGGCCCGCGGGCAGGCCCCAGGCTCCCGGCAGCACCACCGGGAAGGCGGCTGGCCAGCGCCTTCACCTACCGTGGGAAAAGTGTTTATTTTAAAATTATCTGTCGAAGTATCAGAGGTGAGGATCGAAGAAAGCCGTTTCCAAGCCTGAAAATTCGCACCTCTTCCCCTTGGACGTGCCCTGGGGATGCTGGCGAGGCCCCTGCACCAAAGGGCAGGCCGGGCCGCGCAGGAGTCCCGCCCGCGGGAGGTGACGCAGCAGGGCCCTGGGGCTGGCGGCGAGGGGTGGCCCGGAGTTGGGCAGCCGGGTTGCCCTGCCAAGAGGCAGCAATAGCTACAAATAAAACCAAACAGCGTTGGAAACGTGGAAACGCGTTCCCAAAGGAAACTCCGTCCTGGGCAGCGATGGCATAGGATCAGTCCCTCGGCATGTCGGTGGCTGAAACTAGACGGGGGCCCGGCAGAGGGCCCCTTGGGAGGTTCTGAGGGCTCTGGGACTGAACGGGGGAGTGGAGACAGCTCTTGGGAGAAAGTGGGTGGCGTCAGGAGAAGCTGGGCCCCTCAGGGCGGTTTAGTTGGCTGTGGGGTGTCCGTGAATGTGCACAAGTGCGCGCAGAGCAATTTGCGTCTTCTGTGTGTTGCTTATGAACGTACCGTAGGGTCTCCAGAAGTTTCCTCGTGGCACCCTTTCCACAGCTGTGTGGATGCGGTCCCATCTGTGTGCCACCAGCTCCCGGGGGGGGGCGGTGTTCTCCGCTAGCGCGGTTCCTGGGAAGCTGGTGTCCACTGACCACGGAGCAGGGTCCACAGGAGGGAGGGCAGGTAGCATCTGCAGCCATGGTCACGCCCCCATGCCTGGTCAGCGGGCGGGCTGAGCTGCGGCCGTGCCTGCCACTGTGGGACACCGCTGGCGTGGACGCACACGTGGTCTGGGGGTGGGTCCTTGTGCGGTGGGGACGACCCGCGGGGACGCACAGTGGCTCCTGTGCTGGCCAGGAGCAGGCAGTTTTGGGAATTCCAGGTCGTCACGGAGTAGGATGAGTGGGAAACGGGTTTTTCTTGCTTGACGCTTTGAGGAAGAAGTGAGCCTCTGAGAGTGGCGGGCGAGGCAGGGAGCCGTCAGAGGTGAGCGCGCGTCCTTCCCGGATCCACTGGTGCGCGGTGGCTCTGCCCTGACCGCCGGCATCTGGATCACCCAGCCAGCCACGGGACGTGCCACGTGCGCCACACGTGTGGGCTGCAGAGGTAATTCCGACTTCTCTGGTAGCCACATCAAAAGAACAGTAAGAACAGGTGAAATTAATTTCAGGATTATGATGGACTTGACTCAGTGTATCCAAAGTGCCGGGCTTTGAACGTTTGATTAAGAGGAAAATGAAACATTTTTACATTCTTTGTTAGACGGAGGACTTTGAAATCTGGTGCGTCTCCCACTTGGACCGGCCTTCCTGCGGGCCGAAGCCGTGTGCGCTCGGTGCCCGCATGGGCCTGGTCGCCCCTGCGGCCGCCTCTGCTCCCCCTCGGGCATGTGCCGCAGGAAGGGCCACCAGGCCAGCCGCTCCCAGGTCGGGCTCTGCCCTGGCGCCCCGTGTCCCCTGCTCCAGCCTGCGCTGCTCGTCTGACTGGTTGGAACAGCGGGGCTTCGAACGGCCCCGGGAAGGGCGGCCTGTCTGCACGTTTCTCTCAGGGTTGTGTGACCCCTGGGGCATGGGGGGGCGCAGCGGGAGGCTGCCTGCGGTCATGCTGACGGGGTGCGTGAGCCCTCCCCGCTGTGGGCGGCTAGAGGCGTGGAGGCCGGGGTGTTCGTTCAGAGCTCTGGGGCCCCGGCCCCCATCTTTCCTTTGGAAGTAAAGGAAACTTCCCTCTTGAAACCAAGCCTGCTCTGTCTGCTGTGGTGGAGGGGACCCCATGGCTCCCCCTGCGGCCCTGACCTCATCTCTGTGTTGGGAGGCAAGTGGCCTGGCCCCTCGGGATGTGGCCTTGCCCCAGGTGGCCGCCTCGTGGCAGCCGAGTCTGAGGTCCCAGCTCCGTCAGTCCAGATGGGTGACGTAGATAGAAGGGCCTCCGGGTGTCTGGCTTGGCCCCCGCATGGCATCTGCCGGGAGCTGGCCGGGTGGCCGGGTGTCCTGTACCTGTGGACCTGCACTTTGTGGTGAGTGAAGAGCATCTCTGAAGCCAGTGGCAACAGTGTCCCCGCCGGCCCGTGGCCCCAGCAGGGGGGGCGGGTTTGCGGGCCTTCGTGGCTGAGGGGGGCGAGGGGGGAGCTGGAGCCATCCTGCTGATTGAGGTGGTGCCCGAGGAGGGGCGCGGACACCCATGGGAGTTCTGCGTGATGCCCGGCTTTGAGTGACGGCGCAGCCTGGGTCGGGGGCCCAGCTCCCCCTGAGAGTCCTGGGGCTGGCAAGGTCGGCTGTGCCGGAACGCGCCCCCCGCCCGCCGTTCTGGAGGGAGAGCCCTGCTCATTGGCCGGGATGGTCTGGAAGCCTCGAGGCCGCCCCTCCCCAGCAGGTTTGCAGGCCTCTCCCTCAGATCCCCACAGGGAATCCGATCCCTCTGGAGGAGCCGCACATCAAAGCCAGGCTGGCGTTTGATGTCCGGGGGCCTCGAGGGCACTGTTCCGCTCTCCTCCGTCCCCACCGCTGCATCAGGTGCCCAGAGGAGGGCCTTGGAGACGGCACGCCTGGCCAGGGCTCCGAGGGGGCAGCGAGGGCCCAGTCGGGCCTGGCGGGCGCCAGCATGCCCAGCTTTCTGAGTCCACGTGGCCCCGGGACCCCATCTCCCGTCTCTCCCTCTTTGGCCCTGGGGTCAGGTTTGCTGGAGCGCACCTTCCTTGACTGAGATCCTTTCACTTTTCTGGTCTTGTTTTCAGTAAGAACCGTGTGTGGGCCTGGCCAGGGGGCATCACTGGCATTTTGGGGTCCTATGTTTTCCTGAGGCCTGGGCTCAGTGGGTCTTGGTGGGCCAGTCCCAGGCCTTTTGGGGTGCTCCCTGGCCCTACTGTGCATGTGAGGGCCACTGTTAGACCTTTCGTGGCCAGCCCTGCGGGGCTCCGGTCGAGGCTGGCGGCCTTCTGGTAGGTGTGGGTGTAGGGAGAGCACAGGTGAGCTCCGCGGGGGCTGATGGGCCCCCCCACCTTCCCGCGGGGACTTTGGGAGGGCTGGTCCGGCTCGGGCAGGGTCTCCTCCGTGGGTCCCGGCTCTGGGGAGCGTGCAAAGGCAAAACCTGAAAGCAAACAGGAGAAACGAAACCCCCCCCCCGGAGCCACCCAGGGGACGGGATCACGGGTCTTGGGGACGGGCCTAGGTGGCCGTGCGCCCAGAGTGTCCGTGTGCAGCTGGAGGCCCTGCCGCTTGCGGTCACCGGCTCAGCCGCTGAGCTGTCGTGTCCCAGCCGCGCCTGCATGTGAAGCCCTGAGCCCTGGCCGGGCCACGCAGCCTGGCCTGATGTCACCCCAGGCCTCCCGCTTTGGCGGGCCCTGCCCCTCGGACTCGCCCTGCCCGGGGGAGAGAGCCTGGACCGGCCCTGCGGGTGTGGCTCGGTGGCTGTTTATGGGGGCTCGTTTTGGTGACGTGTAGGAAACACGCTCTGCCACCTGCAGCGGAAGGGCTCTGAAGCAGGCGTCAGCTCGCCCGCCGCGGCCTCTGTGGCCAGCACAGGGCCAGTAGCACAGGTGGTGGTGTGCAGGCGCACGGGGGACCAGTTTGCGTCAGTGGCTGGGGCTGTCGCGGGGGGTGCCCGCTGCTGTCTTACTGGTGGGCACAGCCTTGTGAGGAGGGAGGACAGAGGGGAGGTCGCTGTGGTGACCTGGATGACTGTGTTGAGGGGTGGGGACATCTGGTGCGTTTGCCCTTCCGTTGCGCCGGCCCAGCCCGTGCGTGTGACAGGGCGGTTGGGGCGCGTGTACTGCCCCGTGCGCAGCGCCCGTGCCCTGCCACGGTCTTCGCCTTCACGGCTTTTGGGGGGGCTGTGGTTTGGGCCCTCTGTGCAGGGCCCTCTGTGAGCCCGGCCCCGTGTGAGGCCCGTCCTCCCGCATCATGGCCCGAGGTCACACTTGCCCCGGGTGCAGCCGCAGGCCGAGCCCCACACGCAGCTCAGGTCAGGAACCGGTGCTCTGTGTTCGGGAAGACCGCTGCTCTGTCTGCCCCGGGGCCTGCGCGGAAGGGGCGGTGCGGGGGCGGGGTGGGGGGGGCGCGGCGCGCCTATGCTCGTGGCCTTGCGGGCCTTGACTCTCTCCTTGGGTCTGCTTAGTGGGTGCAGGCCCCGGGCTGCTGCTGGGGCTTTGGGGTCAGCAACCCTCTTGGAGGATGGCTTCCCAGGGCTCCGGGATCCTTTCTCGTTGTCTCATTGTTGACCCGCGCAGCTGACCATGACCTGAGGATCGTCTGGGAGGTGGCTGGTGCTGCTCTGGGCCGTGAGGCTGGGAAACACCTCCACGCCCTTTGAGCAGGTGGCTCCCCGCCAGGGGTTGGCTGCCTTCTTCTGGTGGCTCTGAGGCAGCCGGGGTGGGCCGGGCACCACCTCCAGCCCGGGCGGCCTGGGGGTGCTGTCTGAGGGCTCCGGTGTGCCGGCGGCTGGCCTGTGATGTCTCCTTTGCTCCCCCCGCAGGGAGTGCCTGGAGCAGCCGAGCGAGGCCAGCCCGGTCTGTGTGTACATGCGGAACGAGGTAGGTGAGCGCCCGGCCCCACCCGCCTGGCCCCAAGTCCCCACCCGGGCCCGGCCCCACTTTCCAATCTGGAAAATTCACTCTCTCAGACCCGCCTTCAAAGCAGGGAGCGGGGAGACGGCTTCTGAAAGCGTGATGTGTTCCATGGAAAAAAGTGGAGCGCCGCTAACCACGGGCCGCCCGGGCTGCTCCCCCAGCCTCCTCGACGCCCTGTTTGTTTTCTCAGCGTTTCTCAAAGCCCGAGAGTCACAAAAGTGGTTTCATTTTAATAAATATTTGCTTTGCTCCGTGTTTTGATCTTTTCCAAACCGAGTGCAGCGCGGTGCAGGCGTAGCCCGGCTCCGAGGCCCTGCCTGTCCCCACCCGCCCGCCCGTGACGGGGGCGCCCTCCTGCTGCCCAGTCCCCTGCCTCACAGGGGCTTTTTGTTTTGACCCTGGCCAAGCGCCCTCTTCTGGCCCGGGGTGGCCACTGTCCCCAAGGGGCCCTGGGAGGACACTGGTGTTTGTTTATCCCAGTTTGAGGTCCCCCGACACAGGGCCGTGAAGGGCGGGGGTCCCAGGGCTGTTAGTGCGAGGGACCTGGTGGGACGCATCCTCCCTCAGAGGAGACCGACCACGGGACCCCGGGCACCTGGGCCTGGATCGAGGCCGTCGCGGCGGCCCACGGAGGTGGTCGGCGGACCCGACGTGGCTGACTCGGGCCTGAGCCCTGCCTGCCCAGGCCTCAGACCAGCGAGCGGGTGCTCGGGTGCCGGCTGGGGTGCGGGGGTCTGGCTGGGAGCCCCTGCGGTGCCCTGCTCAGGCCGAGGGTGCTGGTGTGAGGAGGCCCAGGCGGTGGGGCGCACGGCGCCTGTGTCTGGGCGGCCAGGAGGGGGCGCTGTCAGCGGGGCGTCGCAGGATGCCGTTTCCTCCTCACAGGTGACGGGCAGAGCCTCCTTGCAGAGCACGACGCTGAAGTCTCTCGGCCTCACCGGGGGCAGCGCCATCATCAGGTCGGGGGGCCTGCCAGTCTTGTTCACTGGAAAAACAGGGTCTGAGAGAAAACGTGGGAAAGTGAAAGAGAAAATGTGCCCCACTTTGGTCTTCTCCCCTTGACCTGAGGCCATTGCCTGACGGCTTGTCCCGTCCCGGGGGCCTGGGGGGCTTGGTGCCGCGGGGAGTGGCGTGGCGTGGTGTCTGGCCAGCGTGGCGGCTCCTGGATGGCGAGCAGGGCGGGAGCTGCGGAAGGTGCTGAGCCTGGTTCGGTCCTTGGCAGAGGGCGTCCCGCGGGGCCGTGACGGGCCCCAGGAGGGAGAGCGCTCTGTGTGGAATTTCACTTGCTTTCTGGGCCTGCACCCCCAGGTTCGCCATGAAGGGATGCGAGCAGGAGCCTGGGGCTTCCTGGGCCAAGACCCCACGGAGCCCAGCCCCCTCCCTGTCTGCCGAGCAGGCCCCCGGCGGCCCTCCGCTCCCGCTGAATACCGTGGGGCTCAGCCAGGGTGACGTGAGCCCCCAGGACGAAGAGGGCATCTCCGGGGCCGGCCGCGTGGACGCCCAAGCGAAGCAGGCGAAGGAGCCCGCCCCCGCCGCCGCCCGCTTTGTTCCTTTCTCGGGCGGGGGCTGGCGACTGGGGGGCCCGTCGGGGTCTGCCAGATCTCTGACATCCCCCTCGGCCAACCTGCCGAAGTCCTTCTCCAGCCCGGGAGGCCCCTCCAAGCCGAAGAAGTCGAGGCCCGTCCAGGAGCCCCAGTCAGAGCCCGAGCCGGTAAGGAGCCTCGGGGCCGCGGGCGGGTGGGCGCCGGCTCGTCTCGTCTGGGAAGCCGTGGTTTTGGTTGTGTTTGGCCTTAAGTTAATTTCGCTGAGGCCCCGTTTTAATGTTCAGTCTGATGGGTTTGGACCGACTCGTGCTCCTGGGACTCTGTCACAGTCAGGAGACCCACCTGCCTGGTGGCCTCTCCGTCCACGTGCAGGCTTCCGACACTCCCGCCCAGCGTGCCTGGGCGCCCTCGCCCTGGGCCCCATCTCTGCCTGGCTGCGGCTCGCAGGTGGCCCCCTCGGCCTGCCGCTGCTCGCGGGGGTGCGGGGCGGGCCTGCCTTCTCCGGCGTGTCCGGCGGGTGCGGGTTCGGGCTGAGCCCCTGCTGAGCCGTCCTTGCGTTGCGGGGACCCATCTGGCTCTGATGACGTGCGTCCCTTTTAGCTTCACTGTTGGGGAGAGTGAGCACGTTAGGAGAGGGCTGGCACCCGTAGCTCGCGGGCAGAGCACCCTGGGGGTGTTGTGGGGCCCTGGCGCACCCACCTGCCTTCCTGTCTCTTCTGGGGTCCTTGTCATTCTCCCAGGCCGCGTCCTGGGGAGGGGGAGGGGCCGGGCGGCTGGGACTTGCGCTCCCGCTCCCTGGGTGAGCCACGCTTGGTGTGACCTTGCTGAGCGGACGGGGGCCGAGCCAGTCCTGAGGCTCGTGCACGTCCTTCCGGAGTGGTGGTGGTGGTGCCCCGGCCCTGGCGCTGATATCTGGGCCGTGTTAGGAACCAGTACGCCGTCCCCGCTCTCCTGGCCTTTGTGACCAGGCTCTGGCCAGAAGCAGGCCTGTGGAGGGGGTGGTGAGCCCATCCTGGGGTTCTGACTCCCTCTGGGCTTGCTCTTCTGGGGATCTCTGGGTTTGGGAGCTGCGCTCTGGGGCCAGGGCGAGCTGTCTCTTTCTGCTACCCCGAAGTCCCAGAGGACTGGTGAGTGGGGCTGTGGACGGCTGGCTTGGCCCAGGCATGCCCTGGGCCGGTGGGGGGTGAGGGGGGCCTGTGCTTTCCTGTAGGGTGACTGGGCACAGGATCGCAGCGTACCCCCAAGCACTGGACCTGGGGCCCCAGGCAGGAGGGGTCCCAGGGAGGGTCCGCCTGGCCGCCAGCAGCGTGTGCCTTTGATCTGGGGGCCCAGCAGCTGGTTGATTGTGGAGCGTCCCCCACCGCGTGCCCGCCCGGCTCGTGCCTCCTGTCACTAACAGCCCCACACCCGGAGGGCTGGCCGGCCACGTGGTGTCTGCTTTGTGTCCCTTCTCAGCCCTGGGGGGGAGGGAAGAAGGGAACAAAACAGAACTTTTGGGGGAACTTCAAAGGTACACTTTGGTAATCAAAACGAGTTTCCAAGTTTTCCGTCAGTGTTTTGCCTGCGTGTGGTTTTGGATTTAAATAAAGAGTCAGAAGAGACCGGATAAAATACAGGCAGGTCCTCGGCTGAGAGCTGGGGTGGTTTACAGACCCGGGCGGCTCTTGCCTTTGATGTCAGAACATTAATTATTAGAAGGTAGTTTTACTGGCCATCAGAGCCGCACTCGGGAGAGGCTGGGGCTGCCCGGCGGCCCCTGGCCTGGCCTTTGAAGTCCTTCCGCCGGCCCAGGAGGGCGCCCCACAGCCCCGAGCGCGGCTGGGCCGCAATCCCAGCAGGCGCCCCCCCACCCCCCAGCCGGTACTGGGGTCTCTGATCAAAGGCCCCATGCCCTGGGCAGGGCAGGCGGCTGGTCACAGTCTTCCCTCGCCCGCCTCCCGGCCCTCAGAGACAGACCTGGGGCTTCCTTGCTACTTCCTACCTGCGTCTCCAGGCAGCTGTCTGGCCTCTGGCCGGCCCTGCCCCCAGCCTTATAGGCAGGTTGAGCGAGAGCCGGTGGGCCTGGGGGCTGTGGCGGGCCTTCCTCCTCTCGTGCGGGGGCACCTCTCTTAGCATCCCTCTCCCCCCGAGCACACCCCGCTGTCCCCCGCATGTGGGTCCAGGGCGTGGATCGAACCTGAATCAGGTGGATGCAGTCGGTGCTTTTGGCAGCCTCCGGGCTCCAGCGGCTGCCCCGGGGTCCCCGCTGTCCGGGGCGCAGCCGCAGCCTTAACAGGAATGCTTCTGAGGTTGGTCGGCAGATAGGTCAGTAGCCTGGAACGTGCTGGCCGAGTCGTGCGGCAGTTTTGAAGGCTGGCGGTGGGCAAGTGCCCTCCAGCCATCTCTGCCACAGCTATGAATTTGGGGGAGAGATGCCCAGCCTTGGAACTGTGGTGGGGAATGGAAACACGGGGTGCCCTGGTCCCCAGAGCTGCTTGGGCAGGGCCAGGCAGCCCTCTGTGGAGGGGCCTGGGGGCTTCGTCTGCAGACCCCCATCCTGATTGGACCCGAGGGGCGTGCTCCGTGGGACCGTCCCTGGTCCTTTGGCGTGTGTGTCGTGTTCCCACTGCGTGGGTGCCTGTCCCCCGTGGCCTGCTGACCTCGGGCCGCGTGTCCTCCCAGGGACAGCTGCCAGCTGGTGGGGGAGGGCACCCTGCACCGCACCTCACGATTGTGTATCTCAGTACTTTGGGGGGTTCGTGCGCCTCGTTCACAGGGACGAGTCTGGCCACGCCACGGGCGTGTGGGGGCCTCGGCCCGTCCCCCCGTTTCCTGTGCTCAGGGTGGGCGGCCCGGGGAGGCACCGCCCGGCCCGCGGCCTCTGGTGTTCTCGGTGGTTCCCGCGTGCAGCCCCGTGGGGACCGGGCCCGGCCTTGCGCTGGCTCAGCGCTGCGGAGGGCGGGGGCGCCGGCTCTGTGGGTGCCTCGGGAGGTTTGGCCCGCGGCCCCATGTACGGATTCATTTAAGCTCCAAGCCTCAAGGGGAGACGCTTCACATTCCCCCTGACCAGAGACCATTGTCGGAGGACTGTCTGGGCCAGGAGCGGGGAGAAAAACAAGAGCCCTCGCGGGAAAGCTGGAAAATCTGGGGTTGAGGTCACCCCCAAATAGTTTTTACATTTTTTTTCTGTGTGTCATCACGTCCCGGAAAATTACTGTCAAGAAAACGGACCCTCAGCAGCGGCAAGGCCGCTTCCGACAGGAGGGGACCCGTGTGCGTGGCGGCCGCTCCGCCACTGTAGGGGCATTTGCTGGAGGGTGGCGCCCGGCCCCTGGCCCTCCTCGCCGGGTGCCGGCTGGGCCTTCCGCTGCGCTGAGCCAGGAAAGGGGCGGGGGAGGGGGGGGTGGGCAAGGCCCCCTCGGTCTCCTCTGCAGCCTCCCTCACACGACCCGTCCTGGTGAGGAAGGGAGCTTTCCGAGGGCCGGCCGCAGCCGATGGGCGGTCACTGCGTCCCCAGCTCCGTGTGGCCTGGGCGCCGAGCCTGCACCACCAGCTGTGTCCGCTGGCCTGTCCTTGTCCTTTCCCTGACGCCCTCTTCTCTGTAGGGCCCTGGGTGGAGACCGGGACTTACAGTCTGCTGGGAGCTGCTCCCCTGTCGTTCTGCCCAGTCCCCCCAGGTGCTCCCTGGATGAGGGGTAGGGGTGAGGGAGACGGGCAGGGCCTTGAGCCCATGACATCGGCAACCAGCACCTTTGCGGGGGTGACCCCGCCCCCGTGATGTCACGCTCTCTGGAGCCACTGTCCTCTGCGTGGGCCCCCTGGCGGCCTCTGGAGCTGACCTGGAGGTTTAGGCCCTGAAGGCCAGCCCTCAGCGGTGCCGAGGAGGTTCAGGACTCCATTGTTCTCAGCCCCGGAGCCCGGGGCCCCAGCCAGCGCCTGGGCGCCTGCCGCAGGGAGCCGCAGCCCGTCCAGCTTGTGCAGCGCGCGTTCTCCCTGAGGACGTCTCGTCTTAGCTGCGCTCTCCGTCCAGGATCATAGCCGTCAACCCGCCCCGGACGGGAGCCGCGGGAGTAACTGCCGGGACCAGGGAGCAGCAGAGGAGGGCGGCCTGCTGGCCGAGCGGCGGGCGTGAGCGGGACGGGGGCTCAGCCTGGAGTCTGCCCGGCTCTGGGCTCCCAGCCCCACTGTGCCTCCCGCTCCCCACCGGCTCCTCCCGTCCGCGGGGGAGCTGCTCTCCTGGGGAGGCCAAGGGGGGGTATCGGGAGGCCCCCCGGCTTCTCCCTCCAGCATTTGGCAGCGGGATGGAACTTTGGTCTGTTCTCGCGGGCCAGGGCCTCCTGGGCCGGGACGCAGTGGCCGCCCTGAGACTCGGGAGGCCTGGGTGGGGCCCAGCTTTCGGCTTCTGTCAGGCTTCTGCTTGACACATAGGTTTCCGATGCAGAGTGAGACGCCGCAGGAGAGAAGGAACCAAGAGTAAATCCAACACCGAGAGGGATTTTTTAGTTTTATTTTCTGACCCAAAGTTCCTGAGTGGCACAAAGCCAGTGGCTGGTGTCCCGTGTCCCCCATTCTGGGAACGGTCTCAGGAGCTCGCCATGGGCCTTGGGGTTATCAGCGCTGCCCCAGGCTGTGCCCGGGGGGTGCCCAGGCGGAGGGTGAGGCCCCAGCGGGCAGGGCTCCCCCGGACTGGCCTCTCCAGCCGGGTCTGAGCGCCCAGACTCCGGTCAGTGCCCTGGACTGCTGGATGCTCCGGCCGACTCGCATGCCCGTGGCTGGGTCCTCCGAGGGAGAGACCGCGACATGGTGGCCTTCGAGCTGCTCATTAGCCTGCAGGCTTCGTGCTCGAGTGCCTGGGGGCCTGGCGCTCGTGCCCGGCGGTTCCTGGCTCAGGCGCACCCGCGTCCTGCCCTCGCTTCCCCCGACACCCTGCCCCAGGCGCCCAGGCCAGCTCTCGGCCCTTCTGGAATGCAGGCGCCGTGGCTGTGGGGGGCAGCCTGGCGCCTGGCATCTTGTTATAAAAAGCTCTGGTGTAGACTGCCCACAGTAGCTCAGGATCCTGTGGCTTCTAAGGGGCAGCCCCCAGGGGCCTCGGCCAGCCACCTACGTACGGGCCCTGCTACCCAGGCTCCAGCCAGCCCGCGTGGCGGCTCTGCCCTGGCGCCTCGAGGTCAGAGGCACTTCCTGGTGAGAGCCCACCTCCCTCAGCCGTATCCTGAGGCGCGGCGCAGCTGGGCTCTTGCTGGACCGGAGACCTTCCCCGGGCGGACCGCCCTCAGGGGCGGCTGCGAAGTTAGCCCTGGAGACACCTGGCAGGTGCGCCCTCGATTGGCCTGAGCGTGGCCGTCCCCGGGGCGGGCTGGGCCGTGAGCAAGGCTCTCGGGAGGGACCGCTGGGGGGTGTGCTCTCAGAGCCTGCCAAGCCCGTGCCTCGGTGTGGAGAAGGGGGGAGGCTCCCCCATTGGAGGCAGGGGCAGGGGGCAGAGGGCAGCCTCCTGGGCTGGAACGCACGCGCCCTGGCCAGGCCCGGCTCCAAGACTGCCTTGGCGCCGGGAGGGGTCACACTGGCAATTACCCATCCAGAGGCGCCTCGAGCCAAGCGAGCCCTATCATGGCTGCTGCCAATTAGGAGCGATGCTGTCCCTTTCTGCGCCCCCAGGGTGATCAGAGGGTGGGCTGGGCTGCTCCCCTGGGGAGGGGAGGTGGGGTCAGCCCAGCCATGTGGCCAGTGGCTGGCAGGTTTTTGCCAAACCTCTAATTTGGGGGCTGTTGCTTCCCCTGCCCTCCTGTGGAGCCCCCGATGTGGCCTCAACTAGGCGCCGCTCTGAGTTTACCCTCTGATTGGGGGACCCTGATAAGTGGCAGCTCCCTAGGACTCTTGGGGGTGGGGCTCCCACGGAGACAGGAGGTGAGCAGAGTAGCTACTAAGGGAGCCTGTCACCCCAGCCCCTGAGCCCCCCAGCAGGGAAGGTGTCTGCCTGGCCTGGCTGAGCTGAGACCCCAGGGCCGCGCCCTGCTGGTGAGCGAGGGCCCCTGTGGCGGTGCTGCTGAGCAGGAGGAGGGGGGCACGGGAGGGGGGGGTCTCCAGTCCTGGCCACGAGCCGACAGGTGGGGCCAGTGAGGGTACGGGCTCGGCTCCGGCTGTGAGGCTGGGTGACCCCGGCCCGTGGAGTCAGGAGCCCGGCTCCAGGGACCCTGCATCAGCTTCTTCCTCTGCCCACCCAGCCTGTGGATCGGGACCCTGTGGTGTGCCACCCGGACCTGGGGGAGCTGCTCCAGGCCTGGCCTGCGGAGCTGCCGGACGAGTTCTTCGAGGTGACCGTGGACGACGTGAGGAGGCGCCTGGCCCAGCTCAGGAGCGAGCGGTGGGTGTGTCCCAGCCGTGGCAGAGCCTCCTGGTCCCATGGAGCCTGGGTGGGTGTGTGGGGGCTTCTACTCTGGCTGGCCAGGGAGCCCCCCCCGACCTTCACACACTCCCACCCCCTGCAGGAAGCGGCTGGAGGAAGCGCCCTTAGTGACCAAGGCCTTCAGGGAGGCCCAGATGAGGGAGAAGCTGGAGCGGTACCCCAAGGTGCACCGGGGGGCCAACGGGGGGGGGGTGTCCGGCCACGCTGCTGTCTGTGGTCACCTGCGTGGCATTGGAGGCTTGTGCGGCTGTGGTTCATAACCAGCGGGCCCTGTTTGTGATGAAAACAAACGCGCGTGGTGATACTTGGCGGTCCCCGCATGCAGCCCACGGTACAGTGTGCTGAGGCCGCAGGTCTGGCCGGTAGTGTGCTGGGGGCCGGGTGCCTCCTGGCCCCGGTCAGGGACCGGCCATCATGGGCCGGGGGTGCAGCCGACGGGGGCCGTTCTTTCTGACCAGTTGCCGTGTCCTGGCCCAGGTGGTCCTGAGGGTCCTGTTCCCTGACCGCTACATCCTGCAGGGCTTCTTTCGCCCGAATGAGACAGGTCAGTGGCCCAGCCGGGCGTCTGGGAGGCTGGGGGCGCTCGAGCCCCCTCTGGCTTCCTTCCAGGCCGAGGGACTGCGGCTGCCTGGCCTCTGGGGGAGACGGGCGTTTCTGGGTGGTTGGTTCTGTCTGTGGGGTATGTGTCCGGGGTGGGCACAGGGCCGGGGGCCCAGCTCCTGTCGGATGCTTCCCAGGCCAGCCTGGTGGTGCACCTCTTCAGGGCACAGGTGTGACGGAGGAGCACCCAGAGGAACGGGGGGCCCCCTCACGCGCGGTCTCTGGCTTGGGGCTGGGGCTGCAGTGAGCTGGAAGGAAGGTGTCTGTGCTGCCAGTTCTGAATGAGGTCGTTGGTGAGGGCGGCAGGCAGGTCCCCACGGCCGGCCCCGGGTGCTGTGTCACCACGCCTTTGTGCCCGGGGCCGCCGTGGGGCAGGGCTCGGGATGGGTGGTGGGCAGGGTGGGAGGTAAAGGGAGGGACGCTCCCGCAGCAGGGTGGCGACCTGGCCAGGCCGAGAGTCTCAGAGTGCTGGGGAGGGAACACACTTGGCTTTCACCTCTGGGTGGAGCAGGCCCCGGGGTGCCCAGGCCTACGGGGTGTCGGGGGGCTCTGTGCAGAAATGGGACGCGGCCCGGCCCATCCCAGAATGGGGCCCGTGCCCGTCCCGTGGGGCCTCCCGGCTCATCCCATCCTCCTTCCTCCAGTGGGGGATCTGCGGGACTTCGTGCGAAGCCACTTGGGGAACCCTGAGCTGCCGTTCGATCTGTGTGAGTCTCCTGAGCCCCGGTGACCCCAGATCCGTCCCAGCCGGGGTTGGAGCGGCCTTTCCTCTAGAAAGCAGCATCGTGGGGTGGCTGGTCGTGTGGCAGCCGCCCACTGTGTGAGCCCCACTGGTGTCTGAGGACAAGTCCGGGAGAGGGGGAGGGGAGGGAGGTCTGGCTCTTGCCCCACCTCAGGGCCCCTGCACCCCTGCCCAGCCCCCTCTCCCGGGCTGCTGGCCTCCCCTCCCAAGGGCATCTGGGTAGGGAGGGGTCAGACCACTGGGCTAAGCCGGGGGCCGTGTGGGGCTGGGGCTCCTTGTAGGGGGTCCTGCCTCAGGTCACCCCCCCCAAGCCCCTTGCCCGGGTTGTAGAGCAGAGAGGCAGGCAGAGGGCTGCAAGCTGAGGGAGCTCCTTGGAGATACCCCCTAAGGCCTGTCCTCCTGTGGGGGCGCAGGAATGGGCAGGGGCCTAGGTGGTCCGTGGCCCAGATGCTTATGTTTTCACAGTCATCACTCCTCCCAAAAGCGTCCTGGATGACCACACGCTGACCCTCTTTCAGGTACCAGCGTCCTGGCGGGGATGCGGGGGCCCAGGGGTGCAGGTGTGGCCGGGCTGGCTCTGTAGATGGGGAAGGGGGGACCAGAGGGGGCTGAGAGCCTCCAAAGCTGGTGCCGGGCCTTTCCAGCCTCCCCCGCTTCCTGCCCTGGCGGGGACGGGCCTGCCCGGCTGGCCGCCAGCCCTCCGGAGCCTGCAGGCTGCGAAGCGTCCTGCCCCGGGGTCTGCGCGAGAAGGGGCTGGGGTGCGGGTCGAGCCCCCTGGGGTGGCAGCTGTATAGCCAGCGTGGCACCCGGCTGCAGGGGCTGCTTCCCTGCCTCCCCCCCGCCCCCCCCGGCCAGGAGACGGAGTGCTGGCAGGGCGGTCGGTCGTCCCCGCTAGCTGGTGTCTGCTCGGGCCCTCCCCTCCCCGAGGCCCCCAGAGCTCCCGAAGGTGAGGTGAGCAGTGTTGATCTGTGTCCTGCCGGGCTGCCTTCCAGAGCCGGGAGGAATGTCCCGTCCCTTTGCCCCTGGGAGAGTAGCCTGGGGCCTCCGCAGCCCTCTAGCCTAATGGTTTCCTTTTCAAAGTCTTTTCGGATATTTAATTAGTAACAGAGGCCAGCCCTTGTTAAGTGCCTGGCAGACCCTGCCGAGGTCTGAGTTGGGGCGAGGGGGTCTGCTTGCTGCCTGGGGCCGCCACCTTTGTGGGGGAGACTGCATGGCCAGAAGCTCACGGGGGAAAGCAGTCAGGGCAAAGTCAGGGCGGGCAGGAGCAGGGAGGTGCGCCCCCCCACCCAGCTCCCCTTTCTCAGTCCCCGGGAGCCCCCGAGGCTCTGGGCCTCTTCCTTCATCCCACCCTCCCGCCTTCCCCCCTTCCTTGCTGGCCAGCATGTTGATAAACATTGAATTTAGGAGATGCTTTGGAACGGGAGGGGGGTGACCAGCACCCGGTCCCGCGCCCCCCTCGTGCCCCGATTAGGAGCCCTGGGGTGCTGCCTGTCCTGCCCGAGCGGCCTGATTCCTGGTGACACCCTGCCCCCTGCTACCAGCAGCTGTCTCCTTTCATCTGTCAGCTCAGCCTGGAGCTGCGGGGGCCTCTGCGCGGGGTGGCGTCCCCCCCGCCCGCCCGCCCGCCCGTCGTCAGGGAGCTGGCCGGGCTTGGGGAAGGAAGCCTTCCTCCCTCGTGTGGGTGAGCAGGCGCGGGCGCGGAAGCCGCCGGCTTTCCTGTCCCTGGCTGCCTGGGAGGCTGCGGGGGGCAGTCCCAAGCTCTAGCGAGTGGCAGCTTGGGGCAGGTGAGAGGGATGGTGGCCCAGCTGCCCCTTTTGGCCACTGGGCCAAGAGACTGAGTGCTGGGTAAGGTGGGGCTGAGGCCAAGGCCCCGAGGATGTGGGAGGGGGGGGGCTGCAGTTGGCGGGCACGGGCGCCCCCGGTGCCCATTAGATGGGTTTCCTTCAGTGCTGGTGCCACCCTGGGCCCCTGCCCCCCGCCTCGCTTAGGGCCCCGGTGGCAGCCTTAGCCGGTCCTGCAGACTGCCGTGAGCTGCGTAGACCTCGGGCTGAACAGGGGTGGAGACTCCTGCTGGTCACAGCTGCCTTCTGTGCTGTCCCTTCATCCTTTACTCGACTGGGATCCCAGAGATGCAAGCAAGCGAGTGGGGTCCTTCTGGTGGGTGCTGGGTGGGGAGGCAGGGAAGCTGGGTTCGAGAGGAGTTGCCCCCAGGGCCCTGGAGGGCTCCCAGCTGGGAGACGGGCCCTCAAGCCTTTCTCCGCAGCTCCCGGCCGTCCTGCCAGGCAGGTTGGGGCTGTGCTGAGAGCGGGCCCTGCGCCTGGGGGGTCAGCCGAGTCAGGGTCCAGCCAGGCTAGGGCTCCTGGGGAAGCCTCCCCCTCCCCGCCCCCGGCTTCTGTGCCTCCAGGGCCCTGGGCGCCCCCTGCCCGCCCCACAGGCAGTGCCAGTGAATGAGGCTTTGATCCGCGTGTCCTGACGGGGTGATGGGCTTTCACATCAGCTCTGTCTTCGTTCGGCCTTGGCCTCAGTGTCCCCAGGCTTGGCCTTTGAAGCTCCCTCCCAGAGAACAGAGGGGGCGTGCCCAGCTGGTGGCTGCCCCTTCCACTGGGGGCCGAGGACAGGAACCCTCTGGCCAGCTTTGGGGCTTGTAGCCACGGTCCTCAGGTGCAGAGGCAGGAGCGGTGGGCTGCGGGGCCCATCCCTGTCCACCCTTCCCCCTTGTGGCAGGAGCCTCAGCAGAGGCGGTTCCTGGGCTCCCAGGTTGCGGGGCGCCCAGTTCAGTGCCCTCCCTGCAGCCCGGGCCCCCCAGTGGCTGGCCCCCTCGTCCCTTCCAGGCCGCCGCCCAGTGTGGAGTCAGGGACCTGGAGCCTGGGCTCTGAGCTCTGGCCCACTTGCAAAGGTAGCTGATCCAGCACCTGCCCGCCCAGGACTTTCAAAGCACCTTGGCTCCAAGAGCCCCCACTCCCCACGCCTGGGCCTGGGCCGGCTGAGGGGCCCCGCCCCGCAGGTATGGGGGCTCCCCTCGGCCTGATGGCAGCCCACCTGGCTGGTGTGCAGACCCCCGCGCTCCCGGCTCCCTGAACAGCATTGCCCATTCTCTTCCTCCACAGAGCCCACCCCCCAGTCCTGTGTGTCCGTTTTCATCTCTGACCTGTCGGCCTCCTGCAGGCTCCGCTGAGGGTGGGGGTTCCAGGCCTGTCCCCCTGGGCCATCAGGAATGCCGAGGGCACGTGCTGCGAGAGCGTCCTGCGCGCTCGGCTGGTGCTCCTGGAGGGACCCCTGTGGCCTCACAGCCCGCCCAGCTCGTGCTGGGGGTGGTGCCCTGGTTGGGTGGGGGGAGCGCAGTGGGGGGGGGCAGGGCAGTGGACCCTGCTTGTGGCGGGAACCTGGCTGGGCTGGGGCGTGGCCCTCAGTGGAGCCCTGGGCCGCTTAGCTTCCTGTGCAGCCCGCAAGAGGCCACCACAGGAGTGGGGGGCAGCACACCCTGCCCGTCCACTGTGGCCTGTGCCCTGGTGCCCACCTGGTGCCCTGAGCTCTCTTCCGTTCTCCCTGCAGGCAAATCTCTTCCCTGCTGCCCTCGTGCACTTTGGAGCTGAGGAACCAACAGGTGGGCGGGGGAGGGGACCCGAGCGGGAGACCTGTGCCCCGTGCCCTGTTCCCAGGTTAGACACCTGCCCGGGCCACGTCCCCTCCCGGAGCAGAGCAGCAGGGCGGGGGGGGGGGGGTCCCTCCATGGCCTGAGGTGGGCTGGCTGTCCCGCAGGCCAGTTCCTGGAGCCCAGGCTGCTGGAACACACCGTCTCCCCATCTGCAGCTGACGTGCTGGCGGCCAGGTGCGTGCCTTCAGCGGGGAGGGGACAGCCCCTGCCCTAGCACGTCAGCTCTGCTGGACCTCGGCCTCCTGTCCCCCAGGTGCATGTCCAGGGCTGCTGGGGCCCCACCCCCGACGCCAGCCCCTGACCCTGGACCCCTTGAGGTGGAGCCGGCGGCTGAGGCAGCGGCCGTGGAGCTTCCTGAGCCCAGCCCCGGGGCGGCCCAGCCGGTCAGGAGGGATCTGGGCAAGGTGCCCAAGTGGCTGAAGCTGCCAGGTACTGGGGCGGGGCATGGCAGGCGGGGTGGGGGGCTGCCGACCCAGGGGCCTCTCGGGTCATCTTGGTGTTGGCATTGCAGCCGGCAAGAGGTGAGAGCCGCCAGCCTGGAGGTGCCCCGTCTGCCAGCCGCGGGGCCCTCCCCACCGTGAGCGGGAATAAAGGTGTGAGCTGCTCTCCGGGTGCTTCTGTCGTCCTTCCTTCAGAAAGAGGCGCCGCCGCACTCTGCCTCCGGGCCCGCTCTGGGCTCCTCCTGCAGCCGGTCTGGACCCACGTGGGCCTGGGGCTGCTGCTTGCTGGGACGGCGTGTCCGTGAACAGAGGTGCCGTTGACCTGATCTCCCTGACACGCAGGAGGACGCCGTGGCCCTGGGCGCCCGGCTGAGCACCGGGGCTGCGGGCACGGGTCCCCCAGCCGCCTCTTCAGGTCTAATCGCTTCCACGTGTTCCCGGTGCTTTGAAGCCCTAGCGCTCCGAGGAGAGGGTGGGAGAGGAAAGTTGGGCCAGCGCGGGAAAGGGCGCAGGAGGGAGCCAGTGGGGCTACATTGGGGGGGGCAGGCCTGCACGGCCCACGCCCTCCTCAGGTGCGGGGGATGGAGGGTGGGGGAGGGGAGGCCGCCCCCAAAGGTCCAGATCCTTGCGGCGGGCGGGGCGGCTGCTGTCCCTTCCGAGGGGACACCCTGCAGCCCAGGTGTGGGAGGTACAGGGTGGCGGGTGCTGCGGGGTGGCCAGGGCCCTGAGCACCAGGGCGGGGGGGGGGCAGCCATACCTCCTGGATGGAGCCCCAGACAGGTCCCTTGCAGCTGGGGTCTCTGTCGGGGCACGGCCCAAGGCCACCCGAGGGTCCGTGGAGCTGCCCTGAGCCTGTGGCAAGGGCCCGGCAGCAGCCCCACAGCCACACACCCCATGGCAGGAGCACCATCCGCGAGCGGCCCCGTGTACGAGGGCTCAGATCCCTGGCCCTCGCTGTGGCCGCAGCAGGGTACTCGCGTGCGGTGTGGTGTCACCCTTGTGCAGGGCCGGGCCTCCTTCCTACCGGCGCAGAGGGGGTGGCCGAGCAGGCTTTGAAGCAACTTGACTTTGGGTGATTAATGGCAACAGGGGGGCGTGCCTGAGAGGCGGCTTTGATTTATTGACGTTGCCTCGTGAGAACAAATTTATAGCTCAGGGAAGCATCTTCTGAGGGGAGTATCAAATGGCTAAAAGGTTACACGGCAGCTTTGATGTTGGAGCGTCAGGACCGTGCGCGGCTCTGCTCGTGTGCAGGGGCGCAGAAGCCCCCTGCTCCGGTGGGCGCCCCGCTGCTTCCTGGCACCTGCGTTTGGAGGACCCAGCGCCTCTCTGACACGAGTGGGGGTGAGGGGGAGACGCCTGCCCCCCCGTCCCCTCTGCGGCCCTGGCCCCCATCTGCTGTGCGCAGGTGGCCAGCGGTAAGACAGCGAGGACGCCGGGAAGAGTGGGGCGTCTGCAGGGCCCACGGCTCGGCTCCTTGGGGCCGGAGGAGGTTCTTGGGCAGGGATCGTCCTGCCCTTGTCTGCAGCCAGGGGCCAGGGGGGCGTGGGCACCGGCGATGCAGGCGGCGGTGGGGGCGGAAGCCCTTAGAAGTCCAGGAGCTGTGGGGGGAGAGGAGCGCTCAGAAGCCACGGGCGCCGCCCCGCCCCTGCTCCCAGGGGGCCCACCTACCAGCTGAGGCAACACCTTCTCCAGCTGGTCCACGTCCACGCGAGCCAGGTCCTCCGCCTGGGCCTGCCGGACACTGCGGACGGCCGCTTCTGCCGTGACACAGGAGGAGAGTGCAGGGGGCGGGGGAGGAGGGGAGCTGCGCCTCCCCCACCCCTGTACGCGGCTGGGGGCTGGGAGCTCAGAAACACGGGGCTTTCCAGGGACACAGGACTTAGGGGCTGGTGGGAAAACGGGAAGGAGGTGTGTGTGGTCTCCCAGCTGAGAAACGCAAGGGGGGACAGTGACTGGTCAGGACCAGCCTGGGGAGACGCCAGAGGACGCCACCGGGGCCCCTTGGCTCACCCACAACAAAGATCTTCAGCAGCTCCGCCATGAGCCGCAGGGCATCCCCGCTGACTGCAAGGTGGAAGGGAGGAAGGTCACAGGATCCGCGCCCCTCCGGCCGCCCCTGTCAGGGGCCGCGTTCCCACTCCCCCCGCCCCCCCCACCCCCCGCCTGCCGGCCGGTGCCCACAAACCTTTGGTCTTGTCGTCCTTAAAATGCAGCTGCAGCAGCTTGCCCACCAGCTCCTAGGGGAGGACCGGCATCAGTGGTGGGTCAGTGGCCCAGCGCCCGCCCCGCCTGCGGCAGGCCCCTTAGGCATCCAGTTCCGGACACTGGAAAGGCTCCTCTGTCCAGGAGCCTCTCGAAGGCTGGGGACTGGGCGGCAAGAAGTCCCCCGTGCCTCCAGGGGGCTCAGAATCAGACCCAAGCGGCGGACAGGTGGGAGTGACCCAGGTCCCAACCCGCTGCTCCCTGGGCTCCAGCACAGTCCTGCACCCCCACCCAGGGGCCCGAGGCACTGTCCCCGAGGGGGCCTCTTGGCAGGAGTGTCCACACCACCAACACTGCCTGGCTGGTTCAGACCCTGCTCTCAGCGCCAGGTCAGCTCCATCTGGGGTCCCTCCCTGGAGTCCACCGCACGCGGCGCACAAGGGAACCGGCACGAGCACACAGCGGGGCAGCGGCCGGGCGGCTCTGTCAAGAGGCTGTCAGGGTGGAGGCGGCAGGAGAGCGGAGCCTGCAGGGCCTCCAGACCAACGGGGATGAGATCAGGTGGCTCCAAGCTGAGCTTCCTCAGGGTAGGGTGCTTGAAGCCCTAAAGGATGACCCCCCTCTGCGGAGCTGGGGGCTATGGGCGAAGATGGGCTCCGGGGGCCACGGTGGGTGAAGATGGGGTTCTGGGGGCCAGGAGCTGCACTTGGGGCACGTTGAATGATGGCCATGCAGAGTAGCTGGAGATGTGGCCAGAGCTGATAGGAGGGTCTTCTGGAAGGTCGAAGCTGATGAGGATTTGGGGGGTGAACCAAGGGAAGTTCTGGAGAGCAGGGTCCCCTCAGCAAAGCTGGGGGAGGCGGGAGGAGAGTGGCAGCAGGTGCCCAGAAATGGGGTGTTGTGCAGGGAAGGTGAGCTGGGGACTGGCCAGCCCTGGACTTTAGCCACGGTGGTGCTGCTTCACCCAGTGCAGCTCAGCAGAGCCCAAGAGCAGAGCAGAGGGCAGGACGGGGTGGACGCCTGGGCCCCAGGCTCAGGAGGGTGCCCCTCGCAGGGACCGTGAGAGCTTGGCGCCACCTGCTGGTCCTCCTTGCTGCTTAACCAAGAAGGTACCAGGAAAGGCCCAGAAAGCCCTGCTGCCCCACCTGCTCGTGGACCCCGCGAAGAGGGCGGGGGGGGGGGGGGGGGGGGGGGGGGGGGGGGGGCGGGGGCTGTCCACTAAACGAGTCGGCACCAGCTGAACATGGTGGTTCCTGAAGGCACTATGGCTCCCTCTGGCCCTGCACAAGGTGATGATCACAAACCCAGCTGTGGCCGCAGCCCATGGGGTGAGGACTGCGGGGTTCTCGAGGTCTGCTGGTGCTGCTCCCCCAGTTATAGTGGGGGGGGTGGACTCTCATGACCACCATTCTGCCAAGTCACCCCAGCCTAAGTGACTTTCCCTATCAGGCCACAAACCACTCCTGGGCCAGGGCTGAGCTGCAGTCCTGGGTGACAAAGAGGGGAACGAAGCAGGTGAGCCACGGAGGAGCCCCGCGTCTCTGCAAGGCAGCAGCTCGTACCCGGGACGGGTGGGCCGCCTTCCTGCTGAAGTCCGTGCCTCCTAACTTTAGACTCTGAAACCACTCACGGCAGGCGGGGGCGGGAGCCAGGAGGGGCTCTGCCCACCCAGAGCCGCCCTCCCCAGGGCAGAGCAAAGGGTGAGGCTCTGAGTGGAGTGACCTAAGTCTAACCCTAGTTCTGCCTCAGTTTCTCTACTGGTAAGTGAGGAGGGTCCTAGTACCCAACTCCCAAACGGACTCATCCGTGTCAAGGGTCTGTAACCGGGCCTGACCGGATGACCCTCACTGCAGAGCCACACACACACCCGGGAGACAGCACAGAAATGGTTTCAGCTTGGGGCGCCTGGGTGGCTCAGTCGGTTGAGCGACCGACTTTCGCTTAGGTCATGATCTCGCGGTTCGTGGGTTCGAGCCCCGCGTCGGGCCCTGTGCTGACTGCCAGCTCGGAGCCTGGAGCCTGTGTCAGAGTCTGTGACTCCCTCTCTCTCTGACCCTCCCCTGCTCACGCTGTCTCTCTCTCTCTCAGATATAAATAAAAATTTAAAAAAGAAAAAGAAATGGTTTCAGCTGGGCTCAGGTGAGACGCAAAGCCCGGGACTCGTGATAGGAGCCGGCCAAAGGGAAGCTCGAAACTACTAGGCCAGGAGGTCGCCGGATTCCGGAGCGCCCGGGGCTGGTGGGGGGCACACGCCTCTGCCGGGTTTCTGCAGACCCTCTCCCTCTTGCCATCAGCTAGGCTGTCTACTCCACTTTGGGCTACTCGGCCGCAGGACCCCACCCGCGGAGGGCCAAGGGCGCGCGGGGCAGGGTTGGCGGCCGGGTTCTGGGAACAGGCCCGCCTTACTAGGCACCGGCGGGCGTCGCGGAGGCGGCGCGGGGCCCGCACGTGACTCAACCTGGGGCCCTCCCGCCCGGTCCCTGCCCGCCCCTCGCCCCCTGCTCCTCCGGCCCGCTCACTTTCCGGAAGCCGCCGCTAGTTCCTTCCATGACAGCCTCCCGGACGCGCGCCCTGCAGGGTCCCGGGAGCCCCCAGCCAGTTCGTCCCGGGCGCGCCCTCCGAAGCCCCGCCTCCGCCCCTCCAGCCAATCAACCTGGAGCGCGCCCTCCGCGTGCCCGCCCCTTCGTCCCTATTGGCCCGTGGCGAGCGCCTCCTCCGCAAAGCCTCCTGGGAGTTGCAGTTTGCGCCCTCCCTTCCCGGCGCGCCTTGCTCTTCCTGGTTACTGAGGTTTTGCGGCGGCCGCGCAGACCCGCGGACGCACGGGGACCGCCTGGAGCGCGAGGGCTGGGGCCTGGGCCCCGCAGACCGGCCCCGGCGCGGGAGGTGCCGTCGACGAGGGCTCCTCAGCCCCGTCGCCTGGGGCGGCCCCCCGCTCACGCCCCGGCCCTGCTCTCATTCTCCTTCCTGTGGAACCAACTCAGTTTGTCCCTCGTTCCTCAGCGGCTGAGGGCTTAGGAGTCCCTGATCTCCGCACTGAGCACCCCGGCACCGGAGGCCCCCGGGGAGAGGCCCCCCCAGGGGAGAGGCCCCCCGGGGAGAGGACCCCCGGGGAGAGGCGCGGGTAGCTGAGCAGGCCGTCGCCTTCCCGCTGCCTCCCAGCCCCGGCCGGCTCATGGTGAAGCCCGCCCCAGGAGCGTGCCATGGAGGAGTTCCGGCACTCCTACAGCCGGCTGTGCAAGGAGAGGGGGGCCGAGCCCCAGGAGACTGTCCTGCAGCAACTGCAGGAGCTGCCGTGGGGTCGGCTGGACCTGGCCACTCAGAGCCTGACCGTGGACACCTGCAGGGCCCTGGGGGCGCTGCTGCAGAAGGAGGCACTGCTGACCGAGCTCATCCTGAGTGACTGCATGCTGAGCGAGGAAGGTGGGCACCCCGAGGGCCGGCAGGGGCCAGGGCAGCCCTTGCCACATCAGAGTTGGGGTTGGGGTCCAGCCCTTCGCCTCAGGGCAGCCTGGACTTGCTTTGTACGTCCCGGTTTGCCTCACGTGGTCCACGTTGCTTGGCGGCCTCCTGCGCAGAGCTCTTCCGTCCCATCAGACTTCGTCCTTGTAGGGTTTCCACTCTGCCCGTACGCAGTGAAAGCAAGCCACAGCGTCCCTGGCAGCAGAGGGCAATTTCTCTTTGCAGCAGAGAAATCCTAGCTTCCCCTGACTTAGGAGAGTCCCAAGGTGCTGGCGAGCCGGTGGTCAGCACCCCGGATCTGTGCCAAGCGGAGGTTACAGATGTTTCAGACCTGACACAGTGAGCAGGGCAGCTCGTTTCGGGCATGAATCCTGACTAGTGGGGGTCCCTGGGACAGTCGTCTCTCCCCGATGTCTGGGAAGCTGAGCTGTCCCAAGCTGGAGCCCCCGGGAAGGAGCTCAGGGACGCAGATTGACCGCCCTGCCGCCTTACAGGGGCCACGCTGCTGCTCCAGGGGCTGTGTGCCAACACTGTTGTGCGGTTTCTGGATCTAAAGGTGAGCAAGTCTGCACTCAGGGGCGTGGCATGGGGGCGGGGGGAGATGTGAGTGTCCTAGCAACCTGAAAATCTGGATGGTGGCTGGATACAGTGTAAGTACTCTTGGCACACAGGGCTCTGTACCATCTTCTGATGGTCTTGATTGTGGGGTGGGGGTGGGAGGGGGTGGTGATTTGAGGTCCGGAATGTGAGTTCCAGAGTGTTCACATAAGCAAACAAGAGACCACTCCGGGAGGTCCACTCTGCTCAGGGAAAGCACCTTCCGCTCAGAGCCAGCCACCTGGCCTCCTCCACTGCCTGACCAGGGCCCTGTGGGGTATGGACCTGGCATTTAGAGCCCAGCGTGTGACGGTGGGGAATTACCAGCCTGCCTCTTCCTGCCCTAGGGCAATAACCTTCGAGGTGCAGGGGCCGAGGCTCTGGGAAAACTCCTCCGACAGAACAAGTCCATCCAGAGGTAAGATGCGGTCCTGGGGTTGTGCCCAGAGGGCACATTCTGCGGCCTGAGAGAGTTCTCTTGAACTCTCCTGGCCCGTTGCTTGTGTTTCTTACCTGTTGGTAGGGAGTTAGCAGTTCTAAGTCACTCACATGGCTCCAGCTTTTCTGCCGGCGACCCCGAAGCCTGCACCTCTCCTCGAGCCCCCTGGACCCTGTGGCAGCAGGATGCCCCTGGGGGCCACACGCCTCACATCCGCTTTCCCTGCAGTCTCACCCTGGAGTGGAACAACTTGGGTGCGTGGGAAGACGCCTTCGCCACCTTCTGCGGGGCCCTGGCGAGCAATGGTGCCCTGCGGCAGCTGGACCTCCGCAACAACCAGATCAGCCACAAGGGCGCAGAGCAGCTGGCCCTGGCCTTGACACGCAATGCCAGCCTCCAGCAGCTGGGTGAGGCCTCTGCTTTGGCCCTCCCTTGGCCCTCCCGTTGCTTCTGGAAGCAAGCAGGTGGAGAGGTGGTGTGGGGAGGGGGCCGGTGAGCTGGGCCCTTGCTCAGTCGGCGGCCACAGGGAGGGCCCTTCCCCCCGAGAAAGCACCCCGGGCCGTGCCAGCTCTCCCCAGGTGCGTTTGGTGACCACCTTTTCCTCCCAGACTTGCGGTGGAACAACATTGGCCTCCTGGGGGGCCGGGCCCTGGTGAGCTGTCTCCCCCGCAACAGAACCCTGTGGAGGCTGGAGCTGGCAGGGAATAACATCCCCGGGGACCTTCTCAGAGCCGTGGGTACGGGCGCTCCGCACTGCATAAAGCTGATTCCCTCAGACAGGCCCCGCCACCGAGGGAGGGGCAGCTTGGGACAGGAACACGTGAGGGCATTGTGAGACTCGCCTACATCAGAACCGGAGAAGAAGGAGAAGGTTCAGGGGAAAGAGACAGTGGCCACGGGCCTGCGGAACACCTACTGCCTTGTGGTGCCCAGAGCCTGCTTAGTGTGCGCGCTCACTCCTTAGCCTGTGAGGTGGGGGTCACCTGGGGCTTGGGGTCTTGCCCTGATGGCCGTATCATTGGCTTGGTGGCCCAGCCACAGATGGGAAGTGGCTTCTCAGCATCTGCCCTGTCACCCCAGAGTTCGTGGTTTCACGTATAAGCTGTGTAGAAGTGCGGCCACCCGGCCTGTGTGGCCCCCGCCCCTCAGTGACCCCAACGACTCCACCTCACCCGGTTGGACACTCTGCCACTCCCTGGGGCTACTTGTGCTGCCAGAAGCACAGCCACCCGGGGGCCTGCTCGGGGCACCACCTCTTGTTGGGCCCGCCCGGCCGGTGTTGCCCCGAACTTCTCCGGGTCCCCCAGCATTATGATCGCTCATTTTTGGCAGCCTCCTCTCCAGATCCTCCCGGAGTCTTTCCAGAACCCAGGAGAGGAGTGTGGCATTCGATCCTTGGGAGTCATACCCTGGGCTCTGGCCTCTGGGGTGGCGCCCAGGTGCCCCAGCATAGCGGCCATGTGTGGCAGCTGGGGGTCTCCCCACGTGCATGTCCCTGCACCGGGTGCCTCCCGGGCTCCTGACCCCACTGTTACCCCTGCCCCTGGTGCACTTCGGAGGGGAGGCCTCTGATTTGTGGGGTAAGCCTGCCTCCCGCAGGGTTGGTTCCCAGATGGCTGACTTCTGGGCACAGGGCCGGGCCAGCTGCTGGCCACTCCTGGGCTGAGCAGCCCCCGTCGTGGATAACGCGGCTCTTTCTGATAGAGCAAGCCATGGACCACAACCAGGACCGGCAGACCACCTTCCGAGAGAACCGGGCCCGCACCCGGCTGCTCAGCAAGGAGGTGCGGCACCTCCATGAGGAGAAATCCAAGCAGGTGGGGCCCTCAGAGCCCCCCCCAACAGCTGCATGGACAGAGTTCCCCTCGGGCCCCATACCACGGCCATCTTCCCTCCTCCCGCTTGCTGGTGCTCCTCTGAGTGGCCAGTACTTAAGTCCAAGAGGCAGCCTCGTGGCCTGACCTCCGCTGGCCAGGTGGGTGGGCGGCTGGGTGGGCGTCCTCTGTGCGCGAGGCCCGTCCTCCCTTGGGATGAGGCCAGTGCTTTCCTGTTCTGCTGCTTCGGCGGGCATCTGCTCTCCTTTCTGCTTGATCAAGGGAAGCGGGCAGGCTCCGGGCCCTTACACGGCGCTGGCTGCCTCTATCCCCAGTTTCTAGACTTGATGGAGACGATTGAAAAGCAGCGGAAGGAAATGGACAGGAGTGGCAGGTGAGCACAGCCCCGGGGCCGCAGCTCACCCGGGTGCCCAAGACTTGGGTCCTCATCACCTGCCCGCCGACGAGGTGGTGGCGTGCTTCCCGGGGAAGCTGGCTGCAGGGCAGGGGCGGCACCGAGAGCTTCCCTGGCCCAGCACCTGGAGCGCCGGAGCGGCCTCAGGAGCAGCACCTGCCGCCAGAGCCCAGGGGCCCCAGGAGGACTCTGAGGTTTGGGCTTCTGGGACCTTCCTTCTGCTTGTAGGGCATCAGCGGTACGTGTGGGGCAGCTGCAGGAAGCCCTGAGTGAGAGACACTCTGTCATTAATGCGCTCAAGGCCAAGTAAGCGGGGGTGGGGGGCAGGAGTGTGGGTGGAGGGCGGCTTCAAAGCACTTTAGAGATGTGCCCATGGGCGGAAAGGAGCGGGGTAGACAAGAGCCTGAGTCCTCGGTGTACAAAGTAGGGGCAGGAAATGGCTGGGTTGGTAACCCTGGAAGGCTTCTTGGAGGAAGTCCGCGCCAGCTGAGGTGAATAGCGGCTGGCAGAGTGAGAACAGCACTGCCCTGGCGAGGCTCGAGGTGAGGCCGGGGCGGGGCTGCGTTTCCCCCTGAGCAGGCTGCAGATGGCCGAGGCTGCGCTGGCCCTGTCCGAGCAAAAGGCCCAAGGCCTGGGGGAGCTCTTGGCTACGGCGGTGGAGGAGCAGCGAAGCTTGGCGGAGAGGCAGGCAGACGAACACAGGCTAGAGCAGCAGGTGAGCAGGGAGGGCTGGGCGCGGGGTGGCCGGGCGGTGCCGGGCAGGGGTGACGGGGGTGCCCTGGCCCTGCCTCTCCCGCAGGAAGCTTTGGAGCGGGAATCCAAGCTCCTCAGAGACTTATCTGCTGCCAATGAGAAGACTCTTCTTCTGAGAAACCAGGTATGAGGGGTGAGGGGCTGGGCGCGCGGAGGAGGCGGGCTGCCCCCCCTTCCCCCCGGGACTGGGGTGCCCCAGCCTCCGTGCACCGCGCTGGCTTCCCAGGTGGACGAGCTGGAGCGGAAGGTGAGATCTCAGCAGGAGCAGCTGTTCGCGGCCAGGGAGGAGCTGACCAGCACAACGGCCGAGCTGAGGGCCAGGGCCATCCAGGCTGAGGGTGGGCATGTGTGGGCCCATAGCCCAGGGACCTGGAGGGGGGTGCATGGGGAGCCCTGGGAATGAGGGTCCCCTGGCGAGTCCCACACACGCTCTCCCGCCCGGGCTTGCAGAGCGTCTGGAACTGGAGAAGAAGAGGTCCCGGCAGAGCTTGGAGGACTTGGAGCGGCTGCGTGCCACGGAGGTGCCTGTCAGTGAGCCCCTCAGGCCTCCTGCCGTCCCCGCTGTCCGCCCAGGGCCTGCAGAAGCCTCGGTGACATGGTGTCCCTGGAGCACGCCCCTGGCTGGGCTTCCCTCGACCGCCTTGGGGTGCCTGGCAGTGCCAGCCCAGGCAGATAACACCCGGGAACTCTGGACCAGGCTATGGAAGGGAGCCCCGCACCGGCTGCGCTGTGCCCCCTGTGTGGCCCTGGGCTGTGCCCTCCATCCTTGCTTCCTGCAAAGCCGTGTGGGGCAGCCCGTTCTCGGGAGGAGCAGTGTCCCCAAGACTTGCCTGCCCCCTGGGGTGGGAAGGGAAGCTTCCCTCCATGGGGGTGGAGGGGCGGGGGTCCCCCGGGGAGCTGGTCCCAGCCCCGCTCCTGCCCTTCCCATACCTGGGCAGGTGGAGCACATGAGTCGCCACTTAGAAGAGAGTGAGAGGGCCATGCAGGAGAGGGTACAGAGGCTGGAGACCTCACGGCTGTCCCTGGAGGAGGTGAGCACGTGCCGAGCGGGTGCTAGGCTCTGCCTTTCCCTGGGGCACCCCTTCTGTGGTCTCAGAACCTCATCACGCCCCCTGTTCAGGACCAAGATCCCTGTGAAGCCAGCGGGACTTAACTATGGTGGGATGTGGCGACTCCTGGGACGCTCTGGGGAGGCTGGTGCAGGGCACCCCCGGCCCGGTGGCTGAGGGGGGCCGCCGGGGTCCCTGGCGAGGGGCAGGAGAACAGGCCCAGTGGGTCGCTGTCTGTGGGGCAGGAGCTGAGCCGAGTGAAGGCGGCGGCTCTCAGTGAGCGTGGCCAGGCTGAGGAGGAGCTCATCAAGGCCAAGAACCAAGTCCGTCTGGAGGAGGTAAGCCCGTGGCCAGACAAGCCTGGACTCTACGGCTTACGGTGCCCCCCGGGGAGCGAGGCCAGAGGGGCTGAAGTGCACAGGCTCTGTCGGGGAAGGTGGGGGACGGGCGCTCCAGGGACACAGGGGCGGGGAAGAGTCAGCAGGACCCGTGCAGGATCACAGCCGACCCCTCCCCCACCAAGAGCCACTGTCGTGCCGCCGTGGGATGGGGTGGGAACGCAGTGTGCCCATGTGCGGCCTGTGACCGCGTGGTCAAAGCCAGGACTCTCCAGCCCCTGGCGGTGGGGAGTGGCAGCCCGGGAAGGGCACTCCGTCGGCTGGTTCAAGTTGAGCCTGCTCAGAACACACGTACAGAGTGACGTAGGGGCAAGGGCAAGTTTCCCTCAGAGCAGAGGCGGGGACTCCACAGGGAGCTCAGGGCCAGCTTGGGGGGCGCGGCCGGCAGGCCTCTGCCCCTCCTCCCTTTGCTCAGCAGCCCCTCTCGGGCGCCCACAGCAACAGCGCCTGGCTCACCTGGAGGAGAAGCTGCGGCTGCTGGCCCAGGCGCGAGACGAGGCTCAGAGCGCCTGCCTGCAGCAGAGGCAGACGGTGGCCGATGCCCAGGCGCGGGCCGGCCAGCTGGGCTTGCAGGTGGAGGGCCTGAGGCGGCGCCTGGAGGAGCTGCAGCAGGTGGCTGGGACTGGGGGGTGGGGGGGCTCCCCGCGGTGCCCCCCCCCCCGCCCGCCACATGCTCACCCCCACGTTCTGCAGGAACTGAGCCACAAAGACCAAGAAAAGGTGGCGGAGGTGACCAGGGTGCGCGTGGAGCTGCAGGAGCAGAATGGCCGCCTGCAGGCCGAACTGACGGCGCAGGAGGCGCTGAGAGAGAAGGTGGCGGCCCTGGAGCGCCAGCTGAAAGGTGAGCGGAGCCCAGAGCCCCGGTGCCCTCTCAGCAGAGCCTTTCCTCAGTGGCTTACCTGACGACAGGCGGCTGGGCTGCAGAGCCGAGCTCGGCCTGGGTCTCAGCTCCCAGGGGCGCTGGGTGGGGTCTGCATACAGGGGATCCTGGCCACACACACTGCCCCCCTGCCAGCCTCGGGATGGGCCCGCGCCTCCTCCCTGAGCTTCTTGCCCTGCAGTGATCGCAGGCGACCACCGGGAGGCGCTGCTGGACAGGGAGAGTGAGAACGCCTCTCTCCGGGAGAAGCTTCGGCTCAAGGAGGCTGAGATCGCCCGCATCCGGGAGGAGGAGGCGCAGAGGGCCAGCTTCCTGCAAAATGCCGTCCTGGCTTACGTACAGGGGTCTCCCCTGAGGGCCATGGGTCCCCAGAAGTGAAGGGAAGCAGGGAGACTCTGGAAGGGGCAGGGAGGCATCTGAGCCCCCCCCCCCCCCCCCCGCAGGCTGGCAGCTCAGGCCGCTCTGCAGCTGCGGGCTTGGGAGGTCGGTGCCCAGCTGGACCAGTGAGCAGCGCCGCTGCCGCCCGGCGCTGGGCTGGGCTGCCCCCCGGGCCCGCACGGGGCTGGCCGGCCAGGAGGCCCGGGGTGCGCACGCCCGGGCCCCGCACCCCAGCCCTCCGGGCGCGTCCCAGGGAACATGCCTGAGATGTCGTTGAGAAAAAGCAGCCGCGGGGGAAGGAAATCCAGAAGACCTGCGTCCCCGACCCCTCACAGTCCCCTTTCCCCGTGTGCCCACATACCTCCTTCCCAGTGCAACCCGAGTCCTGGGCCTTTTGAAATACAGAACTTTTATACTTTGTGATAATTCTGGGCCGGTGCCTTTTCCCACGTCCACCTGTGCTCCCGCCCCCCCCCCCCCCGCGCGTCTGGTGCCCTGCGGGGTACCGGTGCCGGCCCCCCCAGCTGTCTCCTCGCCGCGGGGCGGGCGGGTGGGTCTCAGCCCCTCTGCGCCCCGGACCGGCGCTCCCTGGAAGAAGCCGCAGCCACACAGACCACCCCGCACACGGCCTGGGTGGGGGGCGTCGCCTGCCCGCGCTGACCCCCGGCCCGTGGCACGGGTCCCAGGGGCGCCGAGTCCCCGCCCCTTACCGGAGTTCTCCGGGACCCGCGAGCGCCGGGCTGGGGGCGGGCCCGCGCCCCCTGCGCCCCCCGCCGGCCGCGCTCGGCTGTCTCCGCGCCCGGCGCTCGGCGGCGCTCGGCTGTCTCCGGCCGCTCGGCTGCGCGCTCGGCTCGGGTCCGCGGCCGCTGCGGCGCCGGGCATTTCTCCGCAGCTCGGCTCGCGGCCGCGCCCGCCCGGCCCGCGCCCATGCAGGCCATCAAGTGCGTGGTGGTCGGCGACGGGTGAGTGCGCCGCTCGGAGGCCGCGGGCCGGGCGGGGACGGCCCCGGGGACCCTGCCTGGGCTGGGCGCGCGGCTCCGGGGACGCGGGAGCGGCGGGGGTGCGGCCGGCCGGCTCGGGGCCGGGCGGGGCGGCCCTCACGCCCCGACGCCCCTACCGCGTGCTCCCCAGGGTCGGGCCGGAGCGGGAGGGCGCGCCGGGGCGGGGTCCCTGCCGGCCGCCGGGACGCAGGCCTCCAGCCCGGGCCCACCTGATGCTGCCCCGCCGCCGCCGCCGCCGCGCCGCCTGGCCTCCGGGTGGGTGGGGCCGGGCCTCCCACCTGGGCTGAGCCCTCCGCGGGTCCCACCCTCTCGGGGTGCCGGCGTCGCCGAGACGGCTCGCCCCAGCCCGCGCCCCAGTTCTGCCCTCGGGAGGCCCGCCTGCCCTGCTCCCCCCGCGGCTCTAGGCAGCCGCGGGTCTGCTGGGCTGGGGCGCCTGCCTTCGCCTGGGGTTCCACAGAAGGGGGCTGCCCTTGCCGGGCAGCGGGCTGACGCCTGGCCCGGGAGCAACGCGATCTCGCCCTCTGCCCGCAGCGCCGTGGGGAAGACCTGCTTGCTGATCAGCTACACGACCAACGCCTTCCCGGGAGAGTACATCCCCACCGTGTGAGCGCCCGGGGGGGCGGGTCGGGGCCGGCGCGTCTCGGGGCCTCAGGCGCTGCCTCGCGGGCCCGGGGGGGCGGGGGGGCTCCGAGGTCAGGCCCAGGCGGCCCTGGGCTGGGCTTCTCGGGTGGGGCCGGGGCGCTGCCAAGCCGCGGGCTCTGTGCGGGCCTGAGAGCCCACCGCCTGGCCCGACCTTCCCGCTCTGCCTGGCAGTTTCGACAACTACTCTGCGAACGTGATGGTGGATGGGAAGCCGGTCAACCTGGGGCTGTGGGACACGGCCGGGCAGGAAGACTACGACCGGCTGAGGCCACTGTCCTATCCCCAAACTGTAGGTGACGACAGGGCCAGCTCCGGGAGCTGGGTGGGGTCCTTGTCCTGATATGTGTGTGTGTGGGGGGGTGCCATTTGGAGGTCCTTGACCATTCCCACCAGGACCCCCTCGCCTTTTCTCCCAAGGATGTCTTCCTGATCTGCTTCTCCCTGGTGAGCCCGGCATCCTTTGAGAATGTTCGAGCCAAGGTAGGGCAGTGGTGCAGGGAGGGCTTGTCTGCTGGAGACGGGGCTATTCGGAGGACCTGCCTTGGCAGGGCGGGGGTCTCTTGCCTGAAGACCTTAGGCAGCCTGTCCTTCGGAGGCAGGGGAGGTCTTGGCATGGGGTCTGAAGGTGACGCAGGACAGTGATGAGGGCCACGGTGGGGTAGGGGTGGTGGGTGAGGCTCTCAGAGAAGGGAGGGTCGATAGGCCCTTGAAACTTCCTGGTAGGCGTTTTGTCCTTGGTCATTTTTGCACCAAGCCCAGTGACGGCTCCATGGAGGCTAAGGGTGGGTCCAGGGACCGGAAGGAAGGGACTCTTGGGAGCCGTGGCCTGCTGTGGGCATGGCTGCGGGAAAAGCCCTCAAGGGGTAGGGGTCAGAGCCTCTGTCCCCACAGTGGTACCCCGAGGTGCGACACCACTGCCCCCACACGCCCATCCTCCTTGTGGGCACCAAGCTGGACCTCCGTGATGACAAGGACACCATCGAGCGGCTGCGGGACAAGAAGCTGGCGCCCATCACCTACCCCCAGGGTCTGGCCATGGCCCGGGAGATCGGTGAGCCGGTGCTGCAGGGACTTGGGGTGGGGGCGGGAAAGGGAGGGAAGGCCTGCTCTGGGGGGCACAGTGCTGCCCCCTGTGGGCCCCCACCAGCGCTGACCCGTTACTTGCAACCCCCCACCCCCGCTGCCGCCTCCCCTGCCATCCTCCCCTTCGCTGCCCCCCGTCCTCAGCGTCCCCCTCCCTCGCTGCCCCCAGGCTCTGTCAAGTACCTGGAGTGCTCAGCCCTCACTCAGCGGGGCCTGAAGACCGTGTTTGATGAGGCCATCCGGGCTGTGCTCTGCCCGCCCCCCGTGAAGAAGCCGGGCAAGAAGTGCACGGTCTTCTAGAGCCTGCTTCCAGAGCGGCCCCGCCCGGCCCGTGTTTGCTGTCGTGTTGCGATATTTGGTGTCCCTGAGTCTGCTGTGAGGGAGTGGTGTGGGTGGGGAGGGGGAGAAGCATGGGGACAGGGCTGGGGCCGCGGAGTCCTGTCTGGGGTCCGGTTCCAGCGTTACCTGGCCCCCGCGGGAGGCTGGAAGGGAGCAGGGTCTCCCTCGGGCTGCGGAGCGGGTCCAGGGCAGCCCCAGGATGGGCTTCCTGATGGGGAGGTTGGGGGGATGGGGCCGGCTCATGCGCCCCAGGATGGGGAGGCCCTTTCTTATTTTATACAATAAACATTCTCCACCATCTCCTGCCTGCCTGGGTACTTGCCTCTCTGCCCTGGGGTGCCTGGCCCCTAACTTCGCCTGTTGACGGTACAGAGGGATGAGCTTGACCCATGCCCCGGGCAAGAGGAGAAAATGACCTTGCTCAGCTGTGTCAGTCCCCGAAGGGTGTGACCCGGATCCAAATGGGAGCAAGGATGTGTAACCCCTTTGGGGTGAAGAAAGCCCCTCTCGTGCTGACTTCAGGCCTCAGAGAGGGGCATGCGCAGGGGAGGTGGGCTTCGGTCCAGCAGCTCCCGCGTGCGGGGAGGGCACAGCCTGCAGCCAGGGCCGCCCTGGCTGCCTCCCCCACAGCCCCCCACACCCAGCAGGGCTGGCCCACACTGAGCTGAGTATATAAGATGAGAAGCGGTCAGGAGGAGAGGCAGCCAGTGTAGACAAAAGTGTGGTGGTCAAGAGTGGTTGCTCTGGAGCAGCAAGGGGGCCGTGTGTCAGTGCCAAAGTCAGAAATAGCGGGAGGGGAGGTGAAGGTCAGCCCGGGAGCCACGGTGCGGGAGCTGGACTTCACCCGAGGCCGCAGGGCGCCATTCCGGGCAGACGTGCGATTTCGGCACCAGGCCTCCCCGTGGTGTGCAGAGCAGGCTCCCGCTGACCCGTTAGACCCAACTGTGAGATTTTCAGGGGTGTGGCTACAGCTGCTCAACTGCCTTTATTCACACTTACACAAGCTTACAATGAGCTGTACTAGAAACAAAATTAACAAATACCCCAAACACCCGTTTTTGTACACAGTGCCATCGTCAGTTTGTGGGGTGATTTGTGCCCGTGGCATCTGTGTGGTGCATGAAGGTGGGACAGGCACATCTGTGCCCTACCCACCCCCCCAAATTGGCGGGCGTCCCTACACAGTGGAGACTGGCAAGTTTAGAGTGGGGCCTGGCTTACTGCAAATCGTCTATACTTCAGGCGGTGGAGATGTGGGTGACCCGTGCCAGCTCTCGTGTGCCCGGTCCTTTGTGAGCCACAAAGGCGAGACAGTGTTCTGGTATTTGAAAACTATCCCCCGATTCAGCAAAGAAGCCGATCGGGTCATTGACAAATTAGCAAAGTTCCAACAACCCTTGTCCTCGTTTTACTTCTGACTCACTGAGTAATGTTGATGGGCATCAACCAGTGTCTACGCTGGGATCACAGTCACGGAGCTGGTGGTCAAACACCCCGCGGCTTCCACCCCGCAAGCCTCGGGACAGAGCCAGAGGCCGTCCTGGGTCAAATTCACTGCCGCGCTCAGGAGCTGACCTGGGTGGCCTCGCTTCCCAGGCCCTGCCAGGGACTTGGCCGGGTCGGAAAATCTCCAGCTCAGGGGCCAGGCTGCCAGCTGGCGCGGGCTGTGAGCTGAATGGCTGCCTGCCTACCCGGGACCCTCCCCACCCCCAGCGCTGGGCTCTGCACCTGCCGCCCCCTTGCAGCAGTCAGCGTGCAAACCAGGTAGAAGAAATCATGTTTATTGGAAGGGGGGCGGGGGCCGGGGTGTGTGCGGCAGAGGAGACTCAGGTAGCCAGGAAGCCCCCATCCACCGGCACGGTGGAAGCCGTGGTCATGCCGCTCCGGTCACTCAGCAGGAAAAGGATGACGTCCACCACGTTCTCCACCTCTGTGGGCAGGGGGGCAGTCGGGGCGCAGGTGAAGGGAGCTGCCCTCCCACTTCTCACCTAGGCGGGGCTACGGGTGCAACCCCCAGCTGGGCTCCTGCCTGACTCACCAGCAAACCTGCCAAGTGGGATTCGATCCAGCATGGTCTTGGCCTTCTGGGGGTCGCTCCAGTTGGCCTGGCCCATGGGGGTCATTACCACTGTGGGGTTCACTGCATTCACGCGGATCTGCACCAGCACAGACAGGAGGTGAGCACAGCAGCCTAGGAGCCCAGGGCAGGAGGGCCGGGCGACGGGAGGCATCCCAGTGGAGCTCACCTTGTGTGGCCCCAGCTCCAGAGCCATCGCCCTGGTCAGCATGTCCATGGCACCCTTGGTAGAACCTGTGAGGAGGGGCGTGCCTGGAGCCTGGTGGCTGCAGGCTGGGGGGTGGTGGGCTTGGGGCCGGCGCACAGCCGGGGCTTACTCACAGTAGACACTGTGGTTGGTTATTGCGCGCTGCGAGGCCTGGCTGGAGACATTCACGATGGAGCCCGGGACTCCCCTAGCGATTAGGCCTCTGGCCACGATCTGGAATTGCAGAGGGAGCGTGAGGCACAACCAGTCACCCGCCAGTGCCCACCGCCGCCCTGAAGGCAAGCTCACCTGAGACACCTGGATGACAGCCCGTAGGTTCACGTGGAAGGATCTGGAGGCAGATGGAGAGGCCCTGGTCAGGGACTGGGGCTGCTGCTGCAGGGACAGCCCTTCCCTGGGGGTCCTCTACCCTGGCCAGCTCACGTGTCACACGCCTCCTTGGTGACCTCCAGGAAGGGCTGCAGCAGCGCCACGCCAGCGTTGTTCACCAGCAGGTCCACGGGGCCCACGCTGCCCAGTGCCCGCTCCGTGGCATCCCAGTCACCCAGGTCCACACACACGGGCTCCACCCCAGGGCACTGTGCGTAAGGTGGGGGTGGGGGAGACAGCTCCCAGAGGCTCCCTACCCAAGAAGGGGCACTGCCTCACAGACCTTTCAGCCTGACAGGGGGAGGGGCTAGAGGCCCCGGGGGATCCAGCTACCTCTTTGGGGTTCAGAATGCAGGCTGCTGAAGGAGGTGGCAGAGGACCTAACGCGGCCCCTGGGCATCTCAGGGCTTGGCGACCTGGAGGCTGGCCCCATCTCTGGCCGACCCACTTCCTACGCCCCAAGGCCTCAGGCCCCGGGCGGGCAAAGCAGCCATTTCTGCCGCCTTCCAAGCCCAGGGGCGTCTCCGTTCTGGTTCCGCCGGAGGCCGCGCGCCCTGGGAGGGGCTGAGGGTCCCGGGTCAGGCCCGGCGCCCCGCGCCTGCGCGTTCCGGCCCCGCCCCCGTCCCCGCCCCGCCCCCGTCCCCGCCCCGCCCGCCTCCAGCGCTGCCTGCGCCCGGGCAGGGCGGCGCCTACCTCGCGGACCAGGCTGTCTAGGTCGGCCTGGGTCCGGCTCACGGCCACCACCTGTACCCCCGCCGCGTGCAGCGCCTTGACAGTGCCGCGCCCGATGCCTGCGGGGAGCGCGGCTCAGTGCGTGCGTCCCCCGCCCCGGCCGCCCGCCCCCACCGCCCCCGCCCGCCCCCGGCCGTCCGGCCCCCCGTCCTCCCCCCCCTGCCCCCCCGTCCCCGGCCGCCCCGCAGGCCCACCTTTGCCCGCCCCGGTGACAAGCGCCCGACGGCCCGCGAGCCCCAGCTCCATGGCTGCTGTCGGGTGTCTGAGTGCGCGGCCGGGGGCGCACTGTCGGAGGGCGCGGGGCGGGGCGCGGAGGGGCCAATCACAGGCTGGCGTCCGGGCCGGGGGCGGGGCCGTGGAAATAGCGCCGCCCACGAGGGCGGGCCGGGCGCGGGGTCACCGGAGCGTGGAAGCGGTTCGGTGGCCTCGGGGAGCAGGGCGCGGAGAGCGCGGTTCCGAGCCAGGGTTGTCCCAGAGCAGGTGTGTGAGTTTCTGAGAAGTTTGGCCGAAGGGTTTGCGTAACCCGCACTCCCACCCCGCCCCACGCCCTGGGAGCGCTCCCGGGTTCACCCCAGCCCCCGAGGGACTAAAGAACCCTGACGAAGCCGATGCCGGCAAAGCCCCGCCTCAACCCGGTGTGGTTGGGACCCTCCGCAAGGGAAAGCAAGGAACCTCCGGGCAGCCTGGCCGCGCACAGGCGGCGACGTCCCCGTGGCCTTGTAACAGACCGCTAATCACTGCGCGCGCGCGTTACCACACATGGGAGACAAAGCAGGAAATACACGAAAAGCGACACCGCTGGCATTCAGCGCTGGGTCTTGGGGACGATCCCAACTGAGCGGTACCCGCAGGAATGAACTTGCCTCCTGGGAAGAAAAGCCTCGCCGTCACGACTCTGTGCGGGAATCCGGCTACATTGCTTGGGGGCTTGTCCGGGATTCGGAGACGTGTGTTTCCACCCCCTCTGCCACCGGGGATGCGAACGTCAGGGCGCCGGGGCCGCTGCGGCCGCAGGACACGGGCCCCCCCGACGTGCCGGGCGGGCACCCGGGTGCGCCGCCGGACCCCGAGGCCCAGGAGCGGCTGGGGAGCCCCCGCCAGACTGTCCGAGCGGCCCGCAGGGGCCCCGAGGGGCCGGCGCACCGCCTGGAGTTGCCCTAATAGCGCCGCGGGGAGGGGCCCAGGCGCGTGTGCCTGTGGGGGGGCTCGTCTCGTTCATTTCCTGGGTCAGTGACCGTGGTACTTAGAGCCGACCGCCTCTGGTTATTCGACCTCAGAACGGGGACTTTACAGAATATTCCCCAGCAGCTGCCGGAACTCGCCTTTGTTTCCGGAAGCTCCCTGTCTTCTCCGGATGCGTCCTGATGCCCCTGGTGCAGAACAAAAGAACCCTGGAGTCCCCTCCTCTGTGCGAGCGGACGGGATTCACAACGGGGGTTCTTTCTCTGCCTTCAGCTGGCACCTCCCTCCTCTGCCCTCCCTCCCCCTCCCGTTTCTGCACCACCTTGCCCCCCGGGGGGGGGGGTGGCGGCTGCCGAGCTGGCTCCTCCAGGCCTCGGGCGCCATCCGCTCCTCCCACCCTAGAGGTCTAGCCCATTTCAGATTTCCCCACCAACATTGCAGGTAAAACTTAATCATGGGAAATAAGTTGTCTTAAGTGGATCCAAGCAGAACGTATTCAGTGTTTAAGTTAATTTAAATTTGTTGGTTTGAGATAGACAACGTTTATCAACATTAAAAAAAACAACTTTTATTCCACCTAGATTTGCTGAAGGTCAAATAAGCTCATGTTATCTCTGTTCCAATTTGCTAGCAAAAGGATGACTTAAAGTAATGGTTAACTTTGTGTGTCTCATAGTTTTCATGGGTAATGGTTAAGAGAGCTTTCAAAGTCTTTGGAAACCTAAAATGTCGAGGTTTTTGCTTGCATGATAAATCGGGATTAAATTCATTGGCTATCTAATGAGATAAGAGGCTAGAGCACTAATTACTAGATGTAGGTTTGTGCTTTTGACTTGTTGCAGAGAAACTAAAGGTATTTGGATCTGTTAAAAAACATGCTTTGTGGGGCACCTGGGTGCCCCAGTCGGTTAAGCATCGGACTTCAGATCAGGTCATGATCCCACGGTCCGTGGGTTCAAGCCCCGCGTCGGGCTATGTGCTGACAGCTCAGGGCCTGGAGCCTGTTTCAGATTCTGTGTCTCCCTCTTTCTCTGACCCTCTCCTGCTCACGCTCTCTGCCTCAGAAATAAATAAAACATAAAACATAAAAAAACAATAAAGAATACCTTCAGAGAACAAAAAGAACTACAAATAAAAAAAAAACATGCTTTGTGCTTAATTGGTTCATAAGTTTGCCATCTAAGAAATTCTGATGCAGCAGTTCACAATTGGTTACTACTTAGTTTTCACTGGAGACTAAGGTTTCTAAGAGCTAAAATTCTGCTAAATGTAGTGAAGACTAATGAAAAGAAGAAAAACAACTCTGCATGTAAAAAAAGTAGATATAAAAAATATAAAGAATGGAAATACATTTTTTGTTAAAGGTAAAAAAATTAATTTTGTCCTAAATAAGACTGGTTGTTTGGGAAAAAAGGGCTTAGGTCAAAATCTTTTTAGATTTTGCTTTTTGCTTTTGCAAAGGAAAGGTATAAAAGGTATGAAGAAAAATATTTTTTTTTTTGGTAATTTTTAAAATAGTTTTTACTTTTGAAACAGAGAGAGACACCATGAGCAGGGGAGGGGCAGACAGAGAGGGAGACACAGAATCTGAAGCGGCTCCAGGCTCCGAGCTGTCAGCACAGAGCCCGACGCGGGGCTCAAACCCATAAACCGCGAGATCATGACCTGAGCCAAAGTTGCACGCTCAACTGACTGAGCCACCCAGGGGCCCCATTTTATTTAAAAAAATTTTTTAATATGATTTTTTTTTGTAAGTTTTATTTATTTCTGAGAGAGAGAGAGAGAGAGAGACAGCGTGAGCAGGGAGGGTCAGAGAGAGAGGGAGACACAATCTGAAACAGGCTCCAGGCTCCGAGCTGTCAACACAGAGCCAATGCAGGGCTCGAACCCACCAACCGTGAGATCATGACCTGAGCTGAAGTCGGATGCTTAACTGACTAAATTAGCCACTGTTTTAAAGACACAAAATAAAACCCCGGTGGCCTTCCTGGAAAGGTTAAGGGAGGCTCTCATTAAATAAACACGGCTATCTCCCCTAACTCCCCTGAGGCTGAGAAAATCCTAAAAGGCAAATTTGTCACTCAGCCCCAGATATTCAGAGAGCACTGCAAAAAATGGCTGTTGATCCGGAAGGGAGCCTGGAGGAGCTCTTACGAGCTGCCAGCTGGTATATTACAATCAAGATCAACAGAAGAATAAAAAATAGACAAAAACAAACACACACACACACACACACAACACAGAAAAGGAGGCTTTTTTTTTTTTAATGTTTTATTTATTTTTGAGAGAGAGAGAGAGAGAGACAGCATGAGCAGGGGAGGGTCAGAGAGAGAGAGGGAGACACAGAATCTGAAACGGGCTCCAGGCTCTGAGCTGTTAGCACAGAGCCCGACGCGGGGCTCGAACCCACAAACCGTGAGATCATGACCTGAGCTGAAGTCGGACGCTTAACCTACTGAGCCACCCAGGCGCCCCCAAGGAGGCTTTAAAAAAATATCTGAGGCCTTAGTGGTGGCCTTACGTACTATGTCAGACCGGACTTCCCCAGGTCCTGGCACCAAGTCCCATTTATACGGCCGTTCTGAGCACTAAAAACGAGACCGTCTTCAGAGGGGACCACCAAAGTACAACCCCCGTAAGCCAGGCCCCTTGTGTGTAAACAGTCCCTGGAGATTGGAATGCCCTCGAGAACCTCTATCTTCGAGGGCTCAGATAACCATTGTCCCTGGAAGGGACTGGCCCGGGCCTGGGGCTCTTCACGGTGGCTCCCCTAAACCAGAAACCCAGAGCCTAAATGTAGCTCTAAATATAGAAGGAAAAGTGGTTGATTTCCCTCTTAACACCAGTTAAGCCCTTTTCTGTCCTCCTTTCCACTCCAGGCCAACCATCCAACCTTAGCATGGCGGTCAGAGGCGTCTGCCGAAAACTTCTAACTAAATTCTTCTCTCAGCCCCTGGGACACATATGGGAAAAAATAATTTTTTCTCATTCTTTCTTAATAATACCAGAGAGCCTTACTCTCTTGCTAGGAAGGGACATTATAACTGAATTAGAGACTGTAGTACTACTAACTCCAAAATAAATGAACGATTGTATGAGTTTTGGAAATTACTGGATATTGTAGGCTGTAGATACCAGGGTTCAGGAAGGTGGCTCGCCCCCTGCACCGGTTATTAAGGAGGCTCCATCCCACCTACTTTCCTAAGAAAATAAACGAGGGTCTGACTAGCTTATTTTCTCGGACATGGACACGGTCTCCAGTGCTTGGAATGGTTACAAACAGAACAGGGCAATTTTCATTACAGAGCTCAAAAATCATTAAAGCACAATATCAGGGGCGCCTGGGGGGCTCAGTCGATTAGCTGTCCGACTTCGGCTCAGGTCATGATCTCACGATCCGTGGGTTCGAGCCCCGCGTCAGGATCTGTGCTGACAGCTCAGAGCCTGGAGCTGCTTCAGATTCTGTGTCTCCGTCTCTCTCCGCTCCTCCCCCATTCATGCTCTCTGTCTCTCAAAAATAAATTAAAAAAACAAAAAAACCAAAAAAACCCCACAATGTCAGGCCTTTCGTTTAGGGAGGGACAAAACTTATCAAACGGCCCAAAGGATGTTTACTGAAAAACGTTTGTCAAGGACAATTCTGCAAGTGCTGTCAGCCTGTGAAGTATCTTAGGAACAATCCTTTCAACCACGCACTTGCTCTCCCAGGCAAGACTGACAATCAGGTTTCAGTCAAGTGCCAAGGTCAAAGGAATTCCAACATCCGTGGGTATGGACTGATACTTTTACTAACTGGGGAAAGGCCAGCCCCTGCAAGACAGAAAAGGCACAAAATGTTATAAAAGTTCTGCTTTTATAAAATAAGACCAGGTTTTGGCTGACCTAAAAATTTGCAAATTAAGAATGGCAAATTGCTGCCTTGAGTCTTTCTCTAGCAGAACTCCTGGCCCTTGGAAAAGTTTTGCATCAAAATAAAGCAGGCTGTCTGCTTATACTCAGCAAAACTCTAAATAACACCTCACAAGCATTCGATGCTCTAAACTTTTTTTAGTTGAGTGAGGGCCAAACTCTTGGAAATAGCACCACCATTGACTCCTCACTGCTCCTGGTTCTCCGTCAACAGGGCTACGAGGGAGTCCCTGACATACGTGGTTTACAAAGTCAGGGTCTCTTCTAGATTGTTTGACAGGTTTGGAAACTGGGGACACTATCTTAAGATGCCATCTTGTTGGTCAGTATAATCTTTACTTTGTGTTTTTCTCTTTGCGTCTGCTAATGTTTCTGCCGCCTCACGCCTGCCGGCCTTCCTGTAAAACCACACTGTGGGCCGGTCGACCGGCCCTTGGGTAGGTTCTAGCTGCTGGGCCCCTACGCCGCCCCTTATCAGCCCGAAGAAGCCGGACGGTCATTGTCCCTGTTCCCCAACAGCTGTTACAGGCCCTGTTCGGGGGAGAAATAAGTAGGGAAAGGGGTGACGTCAGGCAGGGGAGGGACCTTCAGGGAGGCGGGCTGCAGCTGCAGGTGGGAGGCTGAAGAAAGGATGGGGTTCTCCCCGCATAAAGCCCTTTATGGACATCCTCCCCCCATTTTCAAGGGCATAAGCGGGGGGACCTCAATGAGACAGGCAATCTAACCCTAAGGCAACGGATGTGGGCCCTGGGCTCTACCCTCACCACCTCGCACCACCGGGGCAGGGAGCGACTTCCTGTGAGTCTGACCACAGACACTCACGCCTGTCAAGCAGGAGATGCAATATGGGTAACAGAGTGGAGGGTCCGGCCCCCAAAGCCCCTCTGGAGGGGCCCCGTTCACTGTCGTTTTGTCCACCCCTTTGCAGTAATGGTGGCCAGGGTGGGTCCCTGGATTCACTGCAGCAGAGCGAAGGCGGCATCTCGAAGCTGGGCGTGCGTTCCAGGTCCATCCACGCCGTGCAAGCTGACGGCACGGACAGAGCCGTCTCACCTCCAGAGACTCGGGGAGACGGCAGCGCCGAGTTAGCCACTCGGGAAGCTGAGGAATCACGGTCCGGTGAAACAAAAGACCCTCCTTACTTTCCCTCTGTTCCCTCACTGTGGCGCCTGTCTCGCCTCGCTTCTCCTACTCTGGTTCTTGCTCTGCTTCTCAGCGCAGGATCGGCCGAGGCCCCGGGCCCGCTGGGAACATGCTGGAAGGTTTCTGTCAGCCCCCACCAGCCAAGCAGCAAACCAAAGTGCGCGGTGCTGTCTACTAAAATCGCTGGCCCTTTTAGATTAGCTGCTTGCTCCTGAGGGAGAAGTTTGTAAAAAGTTTCACCTGAGTCACTGCTGCCTACAGATAGATGATGAGGAAGAAGCCAGAGATAAGATCACAGGTCGAATGAAAAGCACTACTCATGTCCCCGTCCGGACCCGGAGCGGTTTAAACCCCAGAGAGTTATTTGGAAAATGGTTTTTTCGATTTCAAAACTCTCATACAAATTATCCTCCTAATTCTGGGAAGTTGCTCAATCCCACCTTGCTTAGCTCCCCTGCTTGTGCGGCCTGTCTCCGGTCTCACTGAGGCCGTGATTAAAAAAAAAAAAAAAAAAAAAAAAGGCGGCCACTCTCGTAATGATGTTACAGAAATATAAACCTCTAAACCAAGACGACACTGTTTACCCCAAATAGAGGGGTCCAAGCATCAAAGACAGGAATGCGGTAGGGTTCCCTCCCTCAGGAAACAAACAGAAGCCCTCAAGCTAGCCTGGCCACGAGCACACACGACATCCCTCCCGGCCCCGCAACAGACCACGTAATCACACTGCACGTGTGTGTGTTACCGCAAATGGGAGACAAAGAAGTAGAAAATACATAAAAAACTACGCCATGCGGCATCCGGGCGAGCAGGACCCGCAGGAATAAAGCTGCTTCCTGGGAAGAAGAGCCTCGGTGTCAGGACTCTGGCGAGAATCCGGCCACACGGGAAGGGACAGCGAGCCCTGGGTCCTCAGCCGCCTGACACACTAGCCTGTAAAATACCTGGAATAAGAGGACCGGGGTTACCCGGTTCACAGCGGCCGCAAGGGCAGCCACTGCGACCTGAGAGCTAGGGTCACCCACAGGCGCACGTGAGCCCGTGTGGACACGGCGTCTCCGCAGGCCCCGGGCCCCAGACCGCTCACGTCTGTCTCCGCGGAGGTCGGGGCGCGGCTGAAGGGCGGGCCCGAGCCTCCAGGGGCGGGGAGGCGGCTGGCCTCGGCCCGGGGCTGATTTGGGGTTTGGGGGCGGCGCAGGGGCAACAAGAATCTGCTCTTTGTAAGAATCGCTGCCCTTCAGGCTCTGCCCCCTCGCTTCACGGAAAGTGAAATGTGTGCCCCCTCCCTGGTCCTCCTCCAAAGCCCTGGCACGCGCTGGCTCCAGAAAGTGGCCTCCCTTTATTTAGAGACATCCAGGCAGCGCAGCGGAGGACACAGTGCGTGGGGGCGACACCGGCGGGTTTCCCGGCGGCGCGCGTGTGGATACGGACTGTGCCCAGACGCAGAGTCTGCGGGGGTGACGGGCGTACGTGGGGCTGGGTGGTGAGGGCGTGGCCGGGCGGTGGGCGCGATGGGGCGTGGCCTGGCGGTGGGCGGGAAGGGGCGTGGCCTGGCGGTGTGAGGGGCGGGGCGTGGGCGGGCGGTGGGCGGGCCGGGGCGTGACCGGGCGGTGTGAGGGACGGGGCGTGCCGGGCGGTGGGCGCGAGGGGGCGTGGCCTGGAGGTGGGCGGGACGGGGCGTGGCCGGGCGGTGTGGGGGGCGTGGCGTGGCCGGGCGGTGTGAGGGACGGGGCGTGCCGGGCGGTGGGCGCGAGGGGGCGTGGCCTGGAGGTGGGCGGGACGGGGCGTGGCCGGGCGGTGTGAGGGACGGGGCGTGCCGGGCGGTGCCGGGGCGTGGCCGCGTCTGGTGGCCTGAGCGCGGACTCCGCCGCGGGCCGCTCTAGGAGACCAGGTACCCGGCGTCCACGAGGATGCCCGAGCCGGTGGTGGAGGCGCTGCGGTCGCTGAGCAGGAAGAGGATGCTGTTGACCACGTCCTCCGACTCTGCGGGGATCGGCGGGGGGACGGGCGGGGTCAGAGCGGCGCGGCGCGGCCGCTCCGGCAGAGCCCCCCGCTCCCTGAAGCCCCGCTGACCTGCAAACTTCTGCAAGGGGTGCCGCTCCTTCAGTTTCCGGGCGACCTCGGGGTCCGTCAAGACTTTCTGGCCCATGGCCGTCAGCACCACGGTGGGGTTCACGGAGTTTACCCGGATCTAGGGCCAAGGGGCCAAAGGCGGTGGCCTCGCCAGGTAGATGAGCCCCCGCCCCCACAGCCTCTGTGCTCCCCCCGCTACCTAGGAACTTGCTTGCTGTGTTCAGTCAATTGTTGGCCCGCTGCCCAGAGCCTTGGGTCGTCCTCGGCCTCGCCCATGCCCTCTGCTGCCCATTACCATTGCCAGCCGCTACCCCTGCTCCTCAGCACCTACCTTGCGCCTGCAAGCCCACCTTTGCGTGATCCCCCAGGCCCCCCCCATGCCCACCTTATATGGCCCCAGCTCTGCGGCCATGACTCTGGTGAGTACGGTCATTGCGCCCTTGGTGGAGCCTGTGGAGAGAGGGCAGCACTGAGGACCCCTGAGCCCCCTCTGCACCGACACCAAGCCCCAGGGCGCAGGATCTCCTCATGGAGTGGATGGGGGTACAGGCCGGGCAGGGGGACTCACTGTAGACAGCTAGGTTGGGTAAAGAGGCATGGGCCACCATGCTGGAGACGTGGACAATGGAACCAGGCACTCCGCGGCGGATCATTCCCCGGGCCACGATCTAGAAACCAGGAGAGGGGCAGCCTGATGGCACCGCACTGCCGGCTGGACCTTGTCCCCGGGGTCCTTGCTCAGCCCGCCAGCTCACCTGGGACACCTGCACCGCTGAGCGCAGGTTCACGTTGAAGCTCCTGCGGGAGGGCACACAGTCAGATCGTCCGCGGCGGCACTGGCCCCACGGCCGCAGCAACCGCTCCGGGTCCACCTGCTGTCCTGTGCCCCACCTGTCGAAGGCCTCCTTGGTGACCTCCAGGAAGGGCTGCAGCAGCGCCACGGCAGCATTGTTCACCAGCAGGTCCACGGGGCCCACGCTGCCCAGTGCCCGCTCCGTGGCATCCCAGTCACCCAGGTCCACACACACGGGCTCTATCCCGGGACACTGTGGAGAGGCATTGGTCTGTGATCAAGGAGGCGGCCCCGCAAGGCTCATGAGGCACCCGGAGCATGTGGGCTCAGGTGTGGGCCACGGCCAGGCTGCTTGCCTCACCTCCTTGGAGAGGCTGACCAGGTCAGTGTCGGTGCGGCTCACGGCCACCACTCTGGCTCCCAGGGCGTGCAGGGCCTTCACAGTGTCCCTCCCGATCCCTGCAGGGGTGCATCGGGTGGGCAGTTGCCCCAGTACATCTGGGTCAAGGCTGAAGACTGAGGCCGCAGCAGCCTCTTCCGCTCAGGAAAGAGCAGTGAGGGGGTGCTGGCCAGAGTCAGAGGCTCAGCCGGCCAGGATCTGGCCAAGGGAGGCCCCGGAGAACGGCTTCTACCCCTGGGCCCGGGGAAGAGACCCTGCCTGGATGTCCCCGCCTGCGTAGCCTGAACCTGAGGGCCACTGTCTTGGGTTGGGGGTCTTGCATTGACTAAGTAGAGGCAGTGTCCCGTCGCAGGGCGGCCTGCTGGGTGGTGGCCATCAGTGGGGCCCCAGCCCAGGGGCCGTGGGGGGTGCGGCTGGGAGGCAGGCACTGGCAGGGAGGGCTGTGACAGCCATGGAGGGACTCACAGACCCCAGCACAGGCCCGTGAGGCTTTGGGTCTGGCCCCCTTACTCTCCACCTCGGCCCCTCCCACACCCCCACCTGCTCACACGTACCTTTCCCTGCCCCCGTCACCAGGGCCTGGAGGCCCCTGAAATTCAGCTGCATGGTGCTGACTTTGAGCCTGTGTCCAGCAGGAGAGGAGGGCAAGGAGGTTTTAAAGGCCTGGGGCGGGCCGCTGGGGGTGCTGTGGAGGAAGGGGGGCTGGGGGCGCAGGGCAGGGGCGGGGCATTGCTGCCGCCTCTACTTCCTTGTTTACCGGAATCCTTTGCCCTCCCCAGCACAACCCAGACGTGCTGGCCAGAAGCTGCACCCTGAGGTTTGGGAAAGGGAATAAAGGGGCTTCTGGGTGGCTCAGTCGGTTAAGTGTCTGACTCTTGACACGGTCTCAGGTCGGGATCTAGCAGCCCTGCAGCAGGTCACATGCTGAGCAGGGAGCCTGCATATGAGTCTCCCCCTCCCGCTGCTCCCTCCCACCACTTGCACTTTCTCTCTCTCAAAATAAATAAACATTTTAAAGAAGACAGAAAAGAAAAATAGGGGCGCCTGGGTGGCCCAGTCACTTAAGCGTCTGACCTTGGCTCAGATTGTGATCTCGCGGTTCGTGGGTTCGAGCCCCGCGTGGGGCTCTGTGCTGACAGCTCAGAGCCTGGAGCCTGTTTTGGATTCTGTGTCTCCCTCTCTTTCTGCCCCTCCCCCACTCTCTCTCTCTTCCTCTCTCTCTCTCTCCAAAATAAATAAAGATTTAAAAAGTTAACAAAAAATAAAGCAAACCAAAAACAATTAAGCGTGGAGTGGGGGCATGCTCCCTCTCGGCTGGCGGGGTGGGGTGACCCGGAGCTGGCCCTGCAAGGCGCAGACAGGCGCCCCGGACAGTAGGCGGGCCTGAGGCTGTTCTCCTGCCCTGCTGCCCCTGGCTCCACCATGGCCCTGGCCTGAGCCTCCAGAGGCTTCCTCACCGGCCCCTAGCGGCCTAGGCTCCCCGCCCCCTGGCCTGCAAGCGCAGAGCCCAGTCCTGTCCGCAGGTCTGGCCACCGTGATGGCCTCGTTCCCTCTCAGATGAGGCTCTGGGAGTGGGGGCTCTTCTCCCTCCCAGCCGTCCTGTTTCCCCCCCACCCCCACCCTGAAACTTCATCTTGGCACAAATCCGTGGGCTCTTCTGGGCACCAGAGGCCTCTCTGTGGGCTCCCCCTCTGTGCCACTGCTGCCCGTGGGTTCTGACGGCACCTCACAGGACCAACACCGCTGTCCACGGGTCCGGGGGGCGGGGCAGGGCGCGTGGCAGAGCCTCCAGGCGCTCCCGACCCCACCCCCCACCCCCCACACCCGCTCTCCCTCACTCAGACCTGCCCGTGCCCCGGGGCAGAGAGGCCCCGTCCTCCCCGGGCCTCAGTCCTACGGGCCGGTGAATCATCAGGGAGTGGGGAGTGGGGTGGAGGGAATCCTCGCCCCGGCCCGACACAGGAAGCCCACGTGAGCTGGCTCTCTTCCCGCACACTTGTTCCCAAGAGGGACTTGATGTGCCAGCTGTGGGGGTGGGACATGGAACCGGGCCCGCGTGCGAGTGAGGCCCCAGAGCGCACGCTGGCCGCATGCCTGGGAAGCACCCTTATGCCGCGCGGGGCTGGGCCCTCGTCTGCAGCCTGCGCCACGGGTCTTCCCGGCGACCCCCCGGGACAGAGCACAGCTGCTCCCACCCCGTCCGAGCCCTGGGGGCCGCTTCCACGTGGCCGGGGGGCCAGTCCCGGCCCCTGCTCCCTTTGCCTGATCTGCTCGCAGAGGTCCCTCTGGGGAGTATTCTCCCAAACACCCACAGCTAACGAACGTCTCCCTTCATCCCTCACCCCACACCCCGAGTCAGAACACCCAGCAGCACGTGCCCCGCCCCAGCAAGGCCACCACTATACTCCAGACACATTTCAGGTGCTCGGGATCATTTTTATTTTGAAACAACGTGGGACTGCAAGGAGGGTACAAACGCTTCCCCCTGAACCACTTGACGGTGGTTTGCAACACCAGCGCCCCTTCCCCCAAGCAGCTTAGTGCCTGTTTCCTTCAAACGGACATTACCCTGCACAACCATACCATGCACCACGCGCGTGCACATGCACACACGCACACACACCCCTCCCCCAGGCAAGAGACTAATGCCACATGTCCCCACCATGTGTCCTCAGCGCCCTTTCAGGCCTTAAACTTTGTCCCAGTGATGTTCCTGTTATAAAGAACGGCTTCACTGAGCTATAGTTGATATATGCTCTCAAATAACAGAAATTCAACTGAGTAGATGTTATTAGTTAGGTCACAGATTACGCGTCATCCTGTCCCCAAGCAGAGAGGAACTCCGTTGAGCTGCGGAAAAGGAAGAGTTTTTGTAGGAAGAGAGAGAACGGAGAAAAGGAAGTTAGTAGCAAAGAATGCACTGCTTTAGGCCAGTTGGCCTTCCTATGGGGAACAGAAGAGGGAACAGAAGAGGTTCGGTCAGTACACTTCCTGGTGCTGACCAGGACGTCCCGGGTGACTGGCTGAAGGGTCCCCGACGTCAGGGACTGCACTGGGGCCTGAGGTTCTCTTTTTTAGCACCACTGAGCTGCACGGATTTAACGCAGGCAGAGTGAGCAGCCGGGGCAGGGGGCCAGTCCTGCCCGTCCCTTAAGCCCTCATGACGACCAGGGTCGTAAGCAGACCCATCGGGGCTCCCTGCTTTCATGTTTGTGGTAGGACCACGTGCCGGCGCCCCTGCCCCCTCGGCTGCCAGGGTCCCAGCGGGAAGACGGCTCCTGCCCCCCCCCCATCCCCGCGCACCCTGGAACTCCCTCCTCCCGCCTGCCCGAAACTCCCCATTTCAGTTCTGTGTGGCCAGCGGGCGGCCCAGGGTCCCCGTGTCCCCGTCACTCCAGAACACTCTTCAGTCTTCCCTTGACCTTTGTGACCTTCACACTTTTGAAGACTGGAGGTCAGTTCTTTTGCAGCAAGTTCCCCAGCTGGGCCTTGCCCGGCGTCCCGTCACGCTGAGAGGCTGCATGTCGGGCAGGAGCAGCAGGGAGGGGCACCCCGTCACCGCGTGCCGCCGGCTGGCGCGAGGTTGGCCTGCGTCACCCCTGCTGCTGTCAACCCCCATCCCGGGGGGAGCCGCTGGACGTCACAGCCTGTCTTTCCACGCTAAAAGGAATGTGGCTGCCGCAGCTTTACGTGTGTCCTCTGAGTCTCGGGCAAAACGTCCCCTGTGGCCACACCAACTCAGTGCTTGCACGGCTCTGACCGCCGCCCTGGCTCTGCCAGCGGCGTGGCGATCACCATCACGTCGTCTTTGGGGACTAAGTGCCACCCGGGATCCCTGCCCCCACTGAATTCCGGAAGCCCCGCTGGACAGCCACCGTTCCCACCGAGCGTGGTCGCAGAGAAGAGGCCGGTGGGGGTTTATGTCTCAGAAGGGTGCTGAGAAGGGCATCCCCCTGGCTCTGGGGTCGGCAGAGCCGCCCCCGCAGGAAACTTCCAGTCTCTCTGCGCCCGTGGGCGCCTTCCCACACAGCGTGCCGTGAGCCCGCATTTCCAGATGGTTCTGGTGGCCACCCTTGCGCTGGGCAAGCGCGGGCGGATCCGCAGGCTGCCTCTCGTGCGGCAGGCGGTCTCTGCCCAGGGAGCCATGTGCCCATCTGCGTGGCGCAGTTTTCCGCTGCTTCCGCCCGGGCCGCACACCCTGGCATCCCCCCCACACGGAGGTCGCCCGCTCCTGTGCATGGAAATCAGCAACCCGGCGGTTGCTCTGGTGAGCCTCCCGCCTCTTCTCACGTCCCGCGTGCAGCGCACCACGGGCTCTGGCCTCTGCCCCCAGCGGACCGGAGGCTGTCTTCCCAGGGGTGTGGCCCCGAGGCAAGAGGGTGAGGGCACTCGCACCCCGGGGCGCAGGGGAGCAAAGGCCTGCGAAGGGCCCTCACACCTCCCCCGGCGCCTGATCCGTCTCCAAGAGGAAGGTCACAAACAGCGTAACCACCACCAGCCGCTGGTGCTCTGCGCAGAGGTGCGTGTGGCCAACCCCCCGGGAGGGGACAACGAGCCAGGCCACAAGAAGGGTGTGACCCAGGCCGTGGCGGGGGGGTGAGCAGCGGGCGCCCACCTGCTTGGCAAAACGTCAGGCTTCGTGTGTGTGTGTGTGTGTGTGTGTGTGTGTGTGTGTGTGTTTGGAGTGGAGAATTAACTACCCAGAGAGGCCCGCCCAGGCCTCTGCTTCTGGGGCAGGGTCACCAGGCCCCACGCAGCGTCCCGCCTGACGGGCGCGTCCCACTTCGCCAAGGGGCCTGGGCCGCGGGGGAGTCTCAGGTGGCACTTACGCTGGGGTCTCCAGGGTACGTGTGTCAGGCCTGGGCTCTGATGAGGGCCGGGGTCTAAAGGTCGCCAGCCACACAGGCAGCAGGTGGTAAAGTCACAGCGAGACCCCTGGACACCGAGGGCTCAGGTGCGCCGCCCGGGCTGGTGGTGTTTTGTGCACATTGTCCTCACACGTCAGGACTCTGACAGGAGGAGAGAGTGGGCAGCTTGCCCCCCTCCCCCACCTCTGTCTGTCCCGGTGATTTCTTGTGACCGTTTGTAATAAAACTTGGGCTGGGAGGCTCAGTCAGTTAAGTGTCCGACTTCGGCTCAAGTCAGGATCTTGAGGTTCGTGGGTTCGAGCCCCGCATTGGACTCTGTGCTGACAGCTCGGAGCCCAGAGCTGCTTCAGGTTCTGTGTCTCCCTCTCTCTCTGCCCCTCCCCCGCTCATGCTCTCTCTCTCTCTCTCTCTCTCCCCCAAAATAATAAATAAACATAAAAAACTCTAATCATAGGTACACTGCTTTCCTGACTTCTGTGGATCATTCTAGGGGATTATGGAGCTTGAGGGTAGCTGTGGGCTCCCCTGAATTTGTAGCCAGCTGGTCTGCAGCAAGGGTGGCTCTGGGCCCCCCTGAACTGGCCGCTGTGGTCTGAGACGAGGGGCCGCTCCCCGCGCTGCAGTTTGCTAAGCTCCTCTGCGGCGGGCAGACCCTTGCCGCAGCCACAAGGCCCCGAACCTCAGGGGCTTGAGGTGAGGCTCCCTCTCACCTTGGCCGGGGCTCAGCCGGGCCGGGAC